AGAACAACAGCAAATTTTCTATTTGGACGAAACTTGGTATGACACTCACGACACACTTACGAAAGGGTGGACTGATGGTTCGAGGATGTGTACGCCTAATATGCCTGCAAACAAAGGATCGCGACTAATCATTGTGCATTGCGAATGATGTCTTCCGAAGTCTTTGAAATTATGTGGAAGAAAACTTGAGGACTGCAATGTTGACTATCATAAAAACACTATCATTAGCTAATATTTTCGAGGAATGGTTTGAAAACACATTGATCCCAAATTTGGATGCGAATAGTGTAATAGTTCTTGACAACGCTTCCTATCATTCGCGACAGCTCATCAAAGTACCGAATGGAAATTCGAGGAAAGCTGAAATACAAAGTTTTTCAATGGTTCTACTCAAACTGATTATAGTACTGTCAGCTGTCGAAAGCGCTCGCATATAATAAATAGAAGTCATAAAGCTTCAAATCCTTTTTGTGACATATGTTTATATAAAGTATACTGAAAATAAAGGAAAATTAGTTGTATCATTCAAAATGATATCCACCCCACAAGGTAACGCAACTACTACCAAACTACTGAACGAATTCNTATATATATAATAGTTATTGTGATTTTTATATAATCAGAAATGATTATTGAATAACGAAAGGAGAACTGTTGGAAGGTAGTTGCACTATATCTTTTACTTGAACCATACCAAAATATGTAACAAATACACGTTTAAATGACATATATTCATTACCTACAACATTCAACATTCCCTCCTTGCGCTAATTTTCCTTCCCAACAAAAAAGTTCTTATTTAACTTTTTTTTGCTGGACCATGATTGATTTATATTGTGACAACTTCTGACTCACTTGTGACAAGTAGCAGTTTGGTGCATGATAACCGACTCTGAAAACTAAGTTACACCAAGTTAACGAGGGGACCTCAAAATGTTAACTCAACTCCCTTGGCGGCCGAACCAGTTTCCAGTAAGATGTAAATTTCGTCAAGTGTCTTTTATATTTTCTGTTTTTCGTCATTGTTGACCGTTCTAGTTAGCGGTAATTCCCCCCACCTTCACACTGGTTAATCTCAAAATCCCTATATAATTACTGAAATAATTAAATCTTGAATCACATTGTGATTATTAGGTTATTTCAATAGTTTTGTCCGTTTCTGAGTCTACTTAAACTGTAATATCTCAGTAAATACTCAAACAATTCAATCGAAATAAGCCTCATTTGAATCAGTGCAGGTCAATGTAACATTTGGCCGTTAACTGCGTCAGCATAAAAATTGTGTGCTCGGGATTCGATGAAGTCGACGAATGCCATTTTCCTTGGTTCTGATTGGCGAAGGTTCTACCGGTGAGAAAGTTATCGAAATGCTTGAAGAAATGATAGTCGGTTGGCTAGAGGTCTGGGGAGTATAGTGGATGAAGCAGAACTTTGACACTCAATTCGGACGGTGATTTGTGAAACAGGCGTTGTAGTGGAGCGAGATCGAACCTCCTCTGTTGACCAGTGCCGGTTGCTGCTGACGTAATTTTCGGCATATTTTGTCAAATTTCTCTAAATAGGACTCTGCTATGATTGTATGGGCCGATTGCACTAAATCTCACTAGCCGCTGACCACCAGAAAGTAACCATGGTCTTTTTAGTTGGGTTTTCACCTGTGGGATGTGACTGGGTCATCGGTGTTTAACCACTGTCCTGAACGTCTGTACGAGTGAAGAATAAAGGGATAGCTCTGATTCAGCGAATGATTGAGGAAAGGAACATAAGGGGAGCGCGGACCGGAAGGGGCTCCATGATGGTAATTCGGGTAATAAAAAAAGCACACCAGGAGGCCACTAAAGGAATGAACAAAGATAATGCCACATGGGAAGTCAATCGAATGAGAAATAATAGAAAGGAGAGAGGAAGAGGATTAAGGAAGGTATCACGGAAGAATGGCAGATAGAGTAGAAAAACGGTATGACTGGGCGACTGCGCTACAGATTCTGTAGAACTGTCGGGTATAAATCATTGAATCTGTCGGGGAAGGCAGTTCAATTGTTCACGGGGCAAGATAATTTTCTGAGATATCTGGCCAGGTTAAGCCTGGGTCCGGAGGTACTCTGCTCATGTGGATGAGGGGGGCCTGAAACGGCAGATCATGTGATTGAGACATGTATGGACGAAGACGAAGTTGGGTGGTGAGAATAGAAAGAACAGCTGGATCAAGAAAAGGCTCGAATGGAAAGAGAGTCGCTAACGAATAGGCAGAGAGCGTGGTGAAGGATGAACGGGACGGATGAGCTCGCCCTCCCAATCTTCCCCATCTGCAAGATCCATAAAGTCTTACACTGTACGACTTTGTGGATCTTGCATTTCTAGGCTTTCCGGGAGGCAATGTACTTAGCTAGCTGCTGATTATAATGATGAGTGGCTAATGATAAATTAATAATTTATGTTAGCATATATGGATCTATTGGGCTTATCATAGAGACGTCGTCATTAGAATTGAATAAAGTTGGGTCTTCTGCCCTCGCTGTTTCGTCCCTTCGTGTGTTCGACGTTATGCGTCGGCGGCACGAGGGGGAGGGGTGAGTTCGAAGGAGTAGGGGTTCCCTTAAAAGAAGTGGCGTTAGATAGAGAGAAGACGCCCATAGGGCTATGGCATTATGCATGCCCTGAACATTTCCTGTATTCGCGGAGGATACACTTTTCATTAAACGTGATGATCCGATCCAAAGAACAAGAAAGAAGAACAGACCGAACTGATGAAATACACTACGAAACATTATGAGCCACCTTCAAACAAAATTGTAACTCTGCGACATTTTCAATGTTTTTACTCTATTCTCAAACTGCATTAGAAATTGAAATGAATTATAAATTAGAATTGTTTTCAATACTTCTTTCTAATTACTTCTTGTTATTAAATTAATTGGTTTTGCTCTGATTTGACATGAAGGAATCTTTTGTCGAGGACTTTGTTTCGACACTCACTGATATCAGATTTATGTATGAAACTGAGAGCAATGATCAATGACCATTTTTATTCGATTTGATTTATAGAATCTTCATAATTCCTAGACTTAAAAAAAACTATGAGCCAAAGTTCATTGTTGTTCCATATGAAGTGAAATACCAAAAAGTTGGATCTAATTTCATAAAAGCATAAAAGCACACAAAAAGTATGTTGGGCAGACTAAATGATATATTTGAACTTGTTTTAATGAACGCTTAGCTCCTATCCGATTCCGGTTCCAGAATCATTGTTGAGATCGTTGCTTAATACTAGACGTTTGGATACTTTCTGAAAATAAAACAGTTAGGCATGAAAACTATGAACAGTGACAAATGTCGTATTCAAAACACCCCATTGTTCACTCTTTCATCAACCAGTCAGACTGGTTGAGATCGTCACAAGTTGCAAGTAGGTAGACTGCCTACTCAGAGGAATATTGATATACACAATCATGGAAAGGACAGTCGAGAAACGGTTAACAAGGGTTGGATCCCCAGTGTTATGGAACTTTGTAATGAAATTACTACTACGTTTCCTGGACAAAAAGTGTTTGGCTATGCAGACGACTGTGTCATCCTAGTACCTACAGGGTAAACTTAATGATAAAGTGAATATTATGGACCGATGAACATGGGCTTAACATAAGCCCAACGAAATTGACCGTAGTAGTTTGCACCAAGAGGACCTAGGACTCCTGAACCTTCGAAGTGAAGAGACACATCTATTGGAGGGACTCACATATCTGGTAGTAGTTGGCTAAGTTGAAACCAAGAGGCGGGGGAAGCACCAATGCTAGCTGGGCGCACCTACGTAAAGACATTGGAGCACAAAACAGACATGATATATTGGCTCTACACCATGGTGGTTGAAACCATGATAACATATGCATTTATGGTATGGTGGCCAAACATGAAGCAAACGACCGCTATTAACAAACTAGGCAGGGTGCAAAGATTTGCATGTTGGGGAATAATGGGAGCCATGAAAACCACTCCTGCAGCTGCATTGGAAAGACTCTTGAATCTTTCTCCTTTACATCTCACCGAGTCATGTGGTCTTACACCACATGACACTTATTGGACACAAACTTTGCAGCTACCGTCATAAACCGTGGCAGCAACGCTTGGTATAAAGATGGGTCAAAAATCGAACATGGGACGGGAGCTGTATTTACTGTGCGGAAGAAATCTTCATTTCAGTTACCCACTCGGCCAGTACACATCCGTCTCCCAGGCTGAAGTGTATGCAAACTTGCAATACGAGAAAAAACTTCAATTTGAGGTCTCAACCAATTAAGAGAGACAATATTTTGAAAAACAATCAGGCTGCATTTGGGACAGTGAGGAATTCATAAGTGACATCGTAACTTGACTGGAAATGCCGTGAGGAACTGAGGAAACGAGAGGACATGATTAAATTGACTATATACCTCCAGCGCACTAGTGTCACAAGCGACGGTGTCACGATATGTTGGCCCTGAACCAGCTGTGGGTGTGCCAAAGTCTTTGGTACGGAACCATATTGGAAAGTAGATACATGAGAAACTAGTAGTATTGGCAAAATTTATCGCGGTAACATCTACGGGAAAACTTTTAACTTCACCGTCCGTGAAAAACTACTTCAACCAAGCAGGAATCGACTCAGAACAATTATAGGATTACTCACTGGACACTGTTCATTGAAAAGAAACTTGAACAAAATAGAGCTATACAACAGAGACCTTAACAGCAGGCAACGAAAAAACTGAGACAGCTTGTTATATATTATGCGAATGCAAGGGACTGGATCACAGGAGACAAAAATTTCATGAACAAACAAAATCATGTCCAAAAAAATATGACGTACACCAGGACCAGGACCCTCACAATTAGCACAAGAAACAAAATTATTGAATTGAATGTCATGAACAAGATGGGAGAAGAACGTAATAAGCTCACGAGGCTACACTGTTTCATGAAGATGAGGTAGGCGGTTTTGAAGTGGTTGAAAATGAAACACCTGCTTATTTTTTTATTTCGAAATTTGTATTCAATAAAAGTATCACAGTTCAGGTGTGTGGGTTTATTCTGCGCCAGAAATTTCAGTTGTACCTTTCAATCTATTAGTAATTTCTTCTTGTTAGATCGAGAACAGACCGTATATGTATTTTCACCCCTTTGTATTTGTATCACGATTAGGAGATGACTAGAGTGTCAAAAAAAGGAATCAGTTTTTCTGATACTCTACAGATACACATAGTGTGTTGAACCTCTTCTTTGAAACGATGTTCTGCATTCCCGACTTGGGTTTCACACGATTCATGTGTTCCCTCTGGTCAACAGATCCTTCTGCCTTGTTCAAAGATTTAGTTATCAGTGACAGTCGAGGGATTTCACCATCTCAGGCATCTGCACCTCCAAATTTCTTCTTTCTTTCTCTAAACTGAAACACACTTTCAGATTCGAGCATGTTTTGTATTTCCCCAAAACTTTTTCCTTTAGTTTCTGGCACAAATATGCCAGTCAAAATTGCACCAACTAAGCAGAAAGCAGCGAACAACCAAAAACTTTCCGCCTGTCCCATATATTCATTCAGGTCGTTGAAAAACCTTGTTAAAACAAAAGATAGCGCCCAGCTCACGCTAGATATGGTGGTAGAAGCCACTTGTTTGACGTTGTTGGGAAACATTTCAGAGGTTAGCGTCCAAGGCACAGCGCTGATACCAAAGTTGAAGGAGAATATAAAGGCAACGATACTGGTGACTGGTAGCCAGTATATCGGATCTGTGCTGAGTTCAGTGGAGTCTTTGATATAGAAAAAAGCTCCCAGGCCGGATAAAGACACAAACATGCCGAAGAAAGAAATTATTATTAAAACCCTCCTTCCAGACCTGTCGATGAAGAACGGATTAACGAAACTGGACAAAAGCACGAACACCGAGATTATAAGCGAAGATATTTCGGACGAAATTTTCGTGTGAGCGGCTTCAAATATGGATTGCAAATAGATGAATATCACTGTGAAGCCGCATAGTTCCTGAGCCAGTACCAGAGCCATACAAATAACGAACGCTTTTCTCACTGCCGGGTTTGCGCACAAGTCTCTTAAACGTCCGCTTTCCTCTTTCTCCAGGAGTTGGATTATTATCTTTGTTTCCTTCTCCGCGTCTTCTTCATTTACGCCTCGGAGCAACATCAAGGATTTTGTCGCCTCCTTAGTTTTGTTTTGGGAAACCAAGTAGTACGGGGTCTCTGGTGCTAAGATTAGAAACAGCACGAAGAAGGTTGTAGGTATCCCTCCCGCCAACAAGTTGAATAGCTTGTACGATAGAAACGGTCCTGTGGAGTAGCTGAAGAAGTTCCCTAGCGCCCAAAATACGTTCATGGCTTGGGATATCATTCCTCTGTTGGAATCCTTGGACACCTCTCCCAGATAAATCGGCAGCAAGGCGTAACCAGATCCCATGGCCAAACCAGCTATTATTCTTGCGAAATAGATGAATTCGATCTGTGTTCCAAATGCCAAAGTGAAGAACGAGATTATCAGGGGGACAGCTGTGCAGAGTAATCCAATTTTTCTTCCGAATTTGTCCGAAAGGTAACCGAACGGAAATGCACCAATGGCGGCAGCTATGGGAACCAAGCTTCCAATCCACGCATTTTCGTCTGGTGTGATTGGTCGGCCTAGCGGATTGTCGAGGGTACCGTTAAGTTTGGGGATCATTGGAGATGGCCAGCTGAGAGGGACGTCAACTGACGTCGCGATGAGGCAAACTGAAAAGAAGGGATTTAGGTCAGTATAGTGAATATATAGACATCAACGTATAGCACCCTGTATGTTATTGCATTTTGAAAACCCACATAAATTTTCTAAATACAATGATACCCTACACTTGACATTTGAATAACGGATTGGAAGACATGGTTGTAAGGTAGCCTGCAAGATCACCAGACTTAACCCTTTCATAGTTCTTCCGGATCTTCGCGGGTTGTCAGAGACGTTGATATGGAACGGAAAATAACTTGGCGTTTTGTTAAACTGTTACTGAATACATTGTTGGAAATTTTATCGATATCAGAAATAATTTGAAAATTCAGTTACTGATCACTAGTTGTAGTTGGAATTATAACCCGCACGATAATGTTTGATAGAAATTATTCCAAGCGTCTTGAATTTTATATTCCTCTAGCTATATTTTCAAAATTGGGAACAATGTATGTGCTCATGGAAAGTCATGTTTTGACGACTTGGGAGATTTTTTCAACTTCTGATTTTTCCGGAAATCGTTTGATTTTCAAATGAATCACTCTATATTGTCAAGACATACATAATTGCAGTTCAAGAAAAACAAACAAATTTGTCGAAATTAGATGGATTGTTTCCAATTCAAAAAACACTTATCAGGTTATAGAAAAATTAATAATATTGTCATTTTAGTGAAGCATCGTTTCGGTGGATGCATGGAGGACATGTCGCTGTCAATTGTCATGTCAAAAAAATTGGAAATGAAAATGTAATAGATTCGTGATCATAGAACATGGAATAGTGTCACAGAAAGACTACCTGTACCAACTGAACTTTGAAAGACGTGAAATAAAGAAGATCTGTCGGGGATTTGAAATGTCTGAATGAAAAACAAGTTGAAATTACCAGGACTAAGTCAAAATAGTAAAACCAATTTTTAGCTAGGAAGTAAGTACTATGTGCAAAAGTGAAATACATTTCTTTTATTTGAATGTAATGCAAAGGGGGCCGTTATAAATGTGAGTCATTTCTAGATGGTCTAATATTTTAACACTTTCATATGCGAAAAGATGGTCTTGTCAATGGTGTGCTTTACAAAAGTGCTACCTTTTTGTTGGATATCACTTTTATGAAAAGTGATTCTATCTTTAGTAGGTCTGCCATTTTGGCCGATGTCTGTGACTCTTGAAGTTTTGTCTTTTGATCTTGGAAAAATGTTTTTGATAGTCAGAATGTTTTTGAAAACAATGGTGATATAAGGAGAAGTTTTGACGCAGTTTTTAATTTCATGCGGAAGCTGGAAAAGAATGATATTTGGGAATAATCGTATCATTATTAATAATGTTTTTTGAATCATGGAAAACATTTTTACGGTTTATAATTGCTTTTTAGTTTTATACCTAATTCATAAAATAACTAGAATGATAGAAATAATGTTTTCATGATTATTATTTGTTTAGTTGAAAATTTGATCGAGAAAATACTTTTTCCCAACCTAATTGAAACTCTAGAAATTGATCTTTATAAATTAATAATTTTATTTTTGAAATGGGTTGGAAACCAAGTTCGTAGCTTTTGTTGATCAACTGTTTCAGCAATTTGTTTATTACTTGTTAAATAATGCAAATACGTTAATGAACTTTAAAAAACCTTGTTCAGTTATAAAATATCTGCCAAATTATTTTTACTCATATTCATATCTCTAACAGTTCAGAATATATACGTGTTTCAATTACCATTCCTCTAATGTATGTTCCATTATATGACATATCAGTTTTTCATTGCAAAACTTTTTCTTCTATATTTTCCTATAATATATTATAACGAGTAATGAAATTTTCTATCTGAAAGTGAAAAATAAATGGACTGTCTTTGGCATTTGTACACTTTATTTTGAAATAAATCACTGTATCTATTTTTCTATGAAACACTCTGTACATTGTTATGTCACAGATACTTAATCTGTGACATTCTGTGTTTATGTGAACAGAATTAACAGTTATCCATCCTTTGAAAGCGATAAAGATAAATTTCCGAATGATTTAGACGATTTTGTTTGTTTACATTTCTCTACATTATCTGTAAGTTTAGGTATATTGAGTAAAGTGATTCATGCGTTAACCTTGTGTAATTATGCTACGAATTTGCTCGTTTCAATGTTTTCTTTATGAAATAAGCAGAGAAACGAAAAATCATTCGTCGTCATGAAAGAATGAAATTCCTATCAGAAGACAGGTATAGTCGAAGTAACTGATATAGTAATTCTTAAAGCTATCGGCGAACTCAAAGGCCAAAAAACCAATACAAAGAAATAATGCCGCTACGAATTAGTCCACGTGGACTGAAGAACTGGCGGTTCGTATTGGATAATTTTTTCTAACCGAGTTTTATGATTGGCTGAAGAGTCATAAAAAGTCATGTTACGGTGACCAATAGAATGTAGCGATGAGTACCGCCGTTGTATCAATGTTCAGTTCAGGAACTGATCGCGATTTGAGTGTTGAAATTCGATATTGGTGAAATTATAATTACTTAAAATTTTTGTTATCTGTTTAAAATGTGGCGTCCTTGGACAAGTACTAATAGTAATAACGACTGTCCAGTGTTATTGCTTTTTACGTTCCTAGCGTAGCAGGTGTTGCCGGTTGTAAAATGAATCGTTGTTTATTGGGCAATGCAGTGTTGCCGGTTTCAAAATTAAGCGTGAACGACTCTATGAAAATTGGAAGCGCGAAAATGATATCTACTAGATAGAAATGGATGTTTGTTTGTTGGTTGGTTGGTTGGTAAGTGATAAACTTCTGCATCGCCCAACCGATCGTGATAAAACTTGACATGTATGAGTAATTTTTTCATAGAGAAGGTTTTAAGGCTATCAATTTTTCTGTAAATGGATTTTGAAAGTAATACTAAGGAAAAGGCGCAGATTTTCCAGCGAACAGCTCTTCATAGAAAGTAAAATGCTCGATTTAAAACAACTGTATATTTTTCATATTCCGAAATTCATGTACAAAAATAGACCGCAACACCAAGAGATTTTCTACAATCACAGTACAAGACAAAAAGGAATAAAACATTTGAATATTCCCCGTCCTAATTCTACCCTTTATAAGAAATCGATAGCGCTCAATGGCCCTAAAATTCACAACTACATCCCAGAGTCCATCAAAAATATTCATAGTTATAAACAGTTCTGCAAAAAGCTGATGTCCTTCATTCTCATGAACTCTAGAGTTCTTGAAGTACTCAGACAATGAATGCCAATATATAATCCTCTCAGTTCCTCAATTTCTTATAATATTAGTTTAGTCTTTTAGCTCCTGATAATTATTTTCTTTATTATTATATTATTCAGGCTTATAATATATCACATATCAAATGTTCAAACACTAATTAATTAGTACTATTTAGGCACATGACGATCTCATTATGAGATCAGGTGCACTCAATTTGTAAAAAAATGTAATGTAATGAAAAAATTTAATGAAATTGTTATGAAAATTGTGAAATTGTAATGAAATCGTAATGAAAATTGTAATTGTAATGTCATTAAATTCACATAATTATAATTATTATTTCTCAGAAAAAATTATCTTCAAAAAGGAAATACCATCACAGGAGCATACTACGCAGTACTTGTGAAAAACGGCCACATTTGCAGAAAAAAAATCCTGGTTCACCAAGACAACGCATCGTCTCACACCTCAACGGTTGCCATGGCGAAAATCCACGACCTACGATTTGAACTGCTTGACCATCCACCTTACTCGCCAGATCTAGCCCCAAGCGACTTCTTTTTGTTCCCTCATCTGAAAATTGCGCACGGAGGACAGAGATTTTCGTCGAATGAAAAGGTAATCGCCTCTGTGACCAATTGTTTTGCAGAGAAAAACACCGAGTACTATTTGGACGGGTTATAGAGACGGGAGCATCGCTGGGAGAAGTGTATAGAGTTTTAAAAGGAGACTATGTTGAAAAATGAAAAAAAAAAGATTTGTATCTTTGTTAGGTTAGGTTAGATTAGGTCATGTTAGATATATGTGAATTATTTTTTCGAGAAAGAAGTAACTTTCCAACACTTTGTGTTGGAAAGTTACTTCTTTGCATGATCTACACATCTTTGTGAAGAGTTTATTTTGAAATTAATTGTTTTCTTCCATTCTTGGTTACCAGTATCATTTATATTATGACAACGTTGCTAGAAGGCTGGATAAAAATTAAATAATCAATTCTACAGTTTTTACAGTACCTACGTAGGATGGATGTCTTTTTTAACGAGATCACGAATTTTTTTAGGGGTTTTCGAAAAAAAATCGTGTTCTCGAGACGAAAGTCGTGGTAAAATGGAAAAAAAGTTATGGTTCTATGACTTCGTCTTACCAAGAAGTTTTAGTTTTTTTTATTCACATTAATTCCAAAACTCACCTGTGGAAATAACGAGAACATTGTAATTCAAATAGCTTTTAGTCATACTTATAAGTTTTGGTTCGTACTGCGATAATTGTTGCGCCTTTGTTTTGATAGCAAAATGATGTTTTCACTTATTAAGCACGTTGAGTATCTGTATTGAAAACTAACCGATACTACTGAAAATAATTAAAAATTTGAGAAGAGGAATGTTATCATATCTTGTATGACCCCGAAATCAGAGTGATACTTGAAAGTTTATGAAGAAAAATACAGTGTGGAAGTAAAAAGTCCTCGCCTCTTAACTTTTGAACAGAACAAGATATCAAGGTCATATCATTTTCAATATGCTTCAATGAGAAAAACAATAGTTCGGCATCACTCGTCGTCTAGACGATGCTACCAACTTCCTTATAGAAACGGGATAGGCAGACGTGGTCCCTTAGAACGGCCTGTTGAATCAACTGATATGACACCCTTAGATTTTTTGTGGGGATTTGTGAAATCTAAAGTATTTCGTGTTGCCACGAAATTGAGTCCTAAATATTCCATAATGTTATAAATAACTTCGTTATTGACAGAAAGTGAAGGTGAACATTTCAAATATTTATTTCTATAAACTGGAGCGAGTTTTGAATAGTGTAGTTTTTGGTATAAAGAAACTGAATGGGGAAGTGATTTTCGTATAATTCGATGTTCACATGATAATAGTTGTTTCTAGAGGGATTTTTATTATATTTATTCATTCATCAATTTCTACTGTTTTCCCTTGAAAGTAGTCCCCCTCAAATATAATACACTTGTGCCAGAGTTTTGTCCGATCCTCTGAGCAGTTCTGATAAGCACTTCTTGGTATGTCCTTGAGCTTTCTCTGCGCTTCAGATAACCATCCTTTCGTGGCTCTCTTCAATCATGGGAGTAGGAAAAAGTCACAGGGGGCCAAATTTGGTGAATATGGTGGCTGAGGCATCATTACGGTGTTGTTTTTGTGTTTTTGGCCAAACAAATACGAACAGGCAATAACGAGAGAGCAGAGGCATTATCGTGATGCAAAAGCCAGGCATTATTTTTCTAAAATACCGGACATTGTTTTCGTATTGCTTGTCGCAAGCGTTGCATATCTTCAAGATAATACTCCTTATTGAACGTACGACCATGTGGCAAGAACTGATGCACTTCGCCACGGTAATCGAGAAAAACAGTGAGCAAAACCTTGACATTTGATCGAACTTGGTGTGCTTTTTTCAGTCTTGGCTCTCCTCGGCTCCTGCATTGAGACGATTGGGCTTAAGTTTCGATGTCATACCCATATACCCATGAGTCTTCGCCAGTTATGACCCTTTTAAGCAAATCTGGATCGCCGTTGACGTCATTCAACAACTTCTGAGCGACATTTCACGTTTTTTTGAGCACCTAATTGAGTGTTTTACACATTTCACGTTTTTTTTGAGTACTTTGACCTTATCAAGACCTTTCGGCAAGACTAGCCATATCCATGTACTCTGCTTGGTAGCAGAACTCAACAGTTAACAAATGAAGGTTCCTTCACACTATACTGTTGCGATTAGAGCAAGAAAACCACTGCCCGTAGGTTGGGCTATCTATGGGGCGCGTTCCCAGGTGGCGGATAGGGGAACGGCCAGGGGACTGGAGGCCCTGTCCGGGAAGCTGATGTGGCCTTACGGACGGGGTCGCCGGCCTCCTGGTCGATGACAGATGAACAGGAATGCCCACCCCAACCCACCGCTTGGAATGAGGCTGGACATAGCATATTACCTCATGATGTAATACAGCGGCCAAGGCATAAGCGCATTTGCGGCGCCGAGGCCAAAAGGGGAAAGAGAGCAAAGGAGGCAAGAGTGCCAGCAATTATAAGTGCACCGTCCTCCTCCCCCACTCCACATTCAACAGCAAGGGCACTTCCTGCGGCGGGCGCTAAGATCTCCGCCTTGAATAAAGGCAAGGAACCGGCTGCCCCTGCAGGAAAGCGCCCTCACTTGTACACCTCCACTAGGGGAACCCCAGGAATGTTGAAGAAGCCGCGCAACGACAGTAATGTCTCTGCACCTTCCAAAACCTTCGCGGAGACACTATGAGACACCTCAAGGTTGCCAAAGAGAGTGTGTGTTCGGCGAGTCTTGGCCTACACCTGCCGATATGAAGGAGATGACTCCTAGTGACCTGTCCACCTTCCTGGAAAGAACAGGATGGAAGATGACCTAGGAAGACAACCCCTCGGGAGGGTGGGTCTACTGTCACCCTCCCTACTCTACAGATGGGAAATCAAAGTGAAATAAGTATTAGTTGAATCTTTCTAGTTTCAAAATTGTGATTATGTGTTATTGAATAAAACTATTAATGATCAATAAGTATGTCACCTATAATAATAATACCCACGTTAAAATGATTTTTGCCAGGGTCACCCGTTCTGGTATAAGCAAAGACCTTGGCAGTGAGTTACAGCTCAAATCCTCACTGACGAATTGCATTTTTAGTTCAAGTTTAGACAAAAAACAATTGATATCTTTCATATTCATTATATTACTACCTATAAGTGACTATTTTCAGAGATAATTGAGAAACATATATGAGAATGAGTTGTGAACTGTTTCTGATTGACTACTCATCTGACGTCAATGAATGCCCATATTTTTTTATCATTCCTCAAATGATCGCATTCTGCATTTATCGATCAACATGGTTTGAAAAATTGAGTTGAAATTATCTCGTGATTATCACCGTCCTTCAAGTAGCATTGCTGCAACTCACTAAGGACTTTGAAGACGGTCCAAAAAATATCAGCAATTCCTAAGTACCACTTCAAACCTCGTCTACAGTTTTTTCCGCTTTTCCATTTTTCATCAGCATTAGCTCCACTTCATTAATTTCTCTCTGGTCACCTTTGTCGGCATTGAGCATCTGCTGAATCTCACTAAAACTCATTCCTTTGGTTTCCGGTACGAAAGCGATGCTGAACAGAGCCGAACATAAACACCATCCAGCAAACAACCAAAACGTTCCCGATTTCCCAACCCACTCGCCCAAATCGTTGAACGTCTTTGTGGTGATGAAAGACATAATGGAGCAAGATACAGTAGCGAAAGATACCGCAACCCGTTTAGCTTTGTTAGGAAACAGTTCCGACGTCAGAACCCAAGGCATGGCACAGATTCCCATATTGAAAGATACGATGTAAAATATCAGGCTAAAGATCGGCATCCAATTTATGAATCTGGTTCCGAATTCCCTGCTTTGGAAGTAGAAAAAAGCCCCTAGCATTGTCAAAGCTGCGCACATTCCCAGGCAAGACCATATGGTGAGAGGTCTCCGACCTGCTCTGTCCACCAGAAAGGGTGCGATAAAGCTGGATACGAAAAGTAAAAGACCGACGATGAGGGCGGCTATCTCGGGCGCCATATTGGTTCCCGCTGACTCGAAAATTGATTGCAAATGGTTGGTTATGACTGTGAATCCTGATAAATCTTGCGTCATTATCAGTACCAAGCTGACGCAAAAAGCCTTTCTGAGAGACTTGTCTTTGATAGTTTCCCAGAAGTTGCTGTCTTCAGCAATGTTCGTGTAGGCTAGGATGCTTCGTAGTTCTTCTTTAATTCCTTCCTCATCGCACGACCTCAGCAACATGAGAGACTTTTCCGCTTCTTTTATCCTCCCAACCTCCACCAAGTAATATGGGGATTCCGGTGCTAATATTATGAACAACACGAAAAACGTCGTTGGTATGAGGGCGAGCGTTATGTTGAACCAGTATATAGACATGAACGGTCCAATGGCGTATGGTAAGAAGTTGCCGATGGCCCAGAATACATTGAGGGTTAAAGACATGGCTCCCCTATTCGCGTCTCTTGATATTTCAGATATGTACATAGGTAGCAAGAAGTAGCCACCTCCAAGAGCGATCCCCCCTAGAAATCTGGCGGCATAAAAAAGGTATATGTGTGTCGCGAAAGCAAAAATGGTAAAAGATATAATGTGTGGTATTGCTACAGCTAGTAATGCGATTTTTCTTCCAAATTTTCCAGATATATATCCGTATGGCAGAAAGCAGAGGAGAGCCCCAACGGTGGCCAGTGATCCTAACCAGGAGTCTTCATCGGGTGTTATTGGCGTGCCAAGCGGGTTGATGGAGGAATCGTTGGAGTACAGTTTCGGGTAGATTGGAGATGTCCAGGAGTACGTTACGTCGCCTGCCGTGGCTAGTAAATCGGCTGCAACAGAAAAATTATAGGTTGAGGTGACTTATGTAAAAAAAATTCATTTGTAAGATGGAAGACCTTCTCCCCACGAGTCTGACTCACTGGTTAGATTGTAGACTTCAATATTTCGTAAGGGTCTCCAGACACTGAGAATGAGGATCTATATAATCTGGTCATGAACGAACTTTCATGTAATGCTTACTTTTTCACCAGTGTCCTCAAAGCCCCTTTCGACAGTAGTTTCGAGCAAGTAGACAAGAAACTATCATAGAAGAATCTCCAGTGTACAACCCATGTATAATAATAATAGAGAGGAGTCGCTGGATGTAAAGAGAACCTGCTCATCGATAGATGTATAACGCAGGACTCGATACAATATAAGCGTAACCTCTCTATGGCCTGGATCGATGACCGTAAGGCATTTGATACAATTTCGCATGAGCTCATCTTGCATTTGCTCAGATACCTTGCGGTACCCGACAACATAGTGAGATGCATTGAACAACTGATACCACTTTGGCGAACTCGCTTCACCACAACATCTGGTCAAGCAAGAGTCCAAACAGGGTGGGTACGAGGGTACAACTGTGGCAGCCCCGGAAACCGGAGGCACAAAGTCACCCATTTGTTTCATATGGATGATCTTAAACCTTATGCCTCTGGAGAGAAGGATCTCCATCAGTCCTTGAGAGTGGAGGAAGAGTACACACATGCTATCGGTATGAAATTCGGGATAGACAAATGTGCAATGGCCTATCTCAAAAGAGGAGGATGCGGGGACTACGGAGAGGATGTGCAGCTCGTAGATGGAAGCATACTACACCATCTGGATGCCGGAGAGACGTATACTTTCCTCGGGGTGAAACAACGTCACTCACAACAGGTAACAGCAGTGAAAAACTCTCTCCGCGGCAAGTATCAGCATAAACTTCGACAAATCTGATCATCGGAACTGCCGGAGAAGAACAAAGTTGCTGCAACAAACATGCTTGCCGTTCCAATTTTACTCCACTCGTTTGGAGTAGTGAAGTGGACTCGGGAGGAGCTGTATCAACTCGACGTAAAGACCCGAAAAATGATGCATCTCTATAGGAGTTTGCATCTCAAATCATCCGTTACACGGTTGTACTTCCCCCGACAGTAGGGAGGCCGTGGACTTTTGAGTTTCGAGTGTCTACATGACAGAATGGTACTGGATACAGCCTGTAAAGTCGTCAGGAGTTCGGATCCCCTTCTCTGCATGGTCCGTGGCCATGAGAGAGCAGGAATTGGAGCATTTCTCCTTAGGGCAGCTGCTGAACTCGGCATAGTTTTCGACACTGAACGAGGTGACCACAACTCTGTCACCGAGTTGGAACCCGTTCAGCAAAAAGCTCAGATAAAAGCCGCAGAGATCACCTCACTTCTGCGGAAACACAAGGATATGCCAATGCATGGGGTCTTCTTCAATAACATTGGAGACCTGGGCTTATCAAAGCGCCTGACGTACGCTTTTCTCAGGTCGAGTGGGCTGAAGTCGGAAACTGAGGGGTTCATCATGGCTTGCCAGGATGGTGTCTTCAACACATTAGTCTACCGCAGTCCAGTCGCGTGATGAGTATAGAGGTTCCTGACATATGGTGCAGGGCCTGCCGCGAGGCGCCCGATACCCTAATGCACTTGCTATCAGCATGTCCAGAATATGCGGTCTTGGCCTATATCCATCGACATAACGCCGCCTTAAGAGTGCTATATCAACATCTACGGCACTCTTACGGTATTGACAAGACACCGGTGTTGCCCTACGCTCCGGGGGATATTGAATCCGTTGTGGGAAACGGAAAGTGCCGAATTTATTGAAACTATTCGTTCCCCACCCTCAGGCTCATACAAGCTAATGAGTATGATGTAGTCCTTTTCGACCACCAGAGCAAAACGATATTTGTCGTGGAGTTTTCAGCTCCTGGCGAGACGAATATCGTCAGAAAAGAGGAGGAAAAACGAATAAAATATCGAGATTTTCTCTTCGAAATCCGCAGACTCTATCCAGATCACTCTGTCAAGATGGTTGTTCTGATTATTGGAGTTCTTGGTTAAATGATGTCCTCTCTACTGTCGAATCTCAAAATCATACCGACTTGCCGCACTAAGGCAGAAACCTTAGCCGCACAAATGCAGAAGGCTGTCATTCTTGGCTCACTGCGCCTGCTCAGGGCACATGATTCTCGGACCCCATGATCACTCACCCCACGGTGTGGGTAGTGGTCATTGGTTGATAATGCTGGCGCGCCCTCCCGAATGTATCGGGGCTTAGGGGGATAGGGCCTGACCGGCGCACACTACGGTGGAAAATAATAATAATAATAATATCGCCTTTATTATTTCACAACCAAAACAAAAAACACAACATAACTTATATATTCAACTTACAAATGAAATGAAGGGCGAAGTTCATCGTCCGTAATGAAATACATCACGGAAAATGTTCTTCCACTTAACCCTGAAAAGAGAACAAATAAAAAGAAAAAAAAATAAAACTGTGATTGTATGTATAAAGATATAATGTAAATACGAATAAACACCTTACATAAAGAGTTTACTTCACCTATTCCTTACAAGATATCAATAATTTGATTTAATTTCAGCCTAACAAATAGTCTTTATATTTTGTTTTGAACTTTGTGAAATTTAATTTTTTGGGAGGGTTGGGGATAGAATTATACTTTCGGATAAATTGATACCTTAGAGATTGCCAGAACATATTTGTTTTGAATTTTGGCATTGCAATCATATTTTTATATCGAATATTCAATAAAATTTCCTTGATTTCTCTTTTAATAGCCTGGTTGTTAGATTACGAATTTGCCTCTAGAAATCCAAGTGCCTTTGTGATTTTGTTATCACACCCGTCAGCAATGTAGCTTTCAGCTTTGTTACACTGGAAGTAGTTATTGGCATATGTTTATCAAATGAGTTATTCAAACAATTTACCAAATATGTAACTTTTTCTTGAATACTTTCTTGGTCATATATTAAAAAAAATTAAATAGGTCTTGGTAAAGGCTTTGAAGCTCCTGCATGTATGGAGTTTGAGATCCTGTTGTTTTTCACGTACTCTCAACTCACAATATTATACTATATCGTGATCAGACATGTTGTGAGGTATAATACCATTCTCTACCTCACTTCCCTATTGGACTATGACATAGTCCAAAAGACTTGCCGACGTGGCTGTAACCCTAGTAGGAACATCCATCGACTGACAAAGATTCAGTGTATTCAGTACTGAGTAAAACTTTTTCACACAACTATTCTCATTATCCAATACATATACATTATTCAGCTATTCAGTTTTTTTTTAATATGGGTATTTATATACCTATCCTTAGAACTGATATACACTTGGCGTCGATTAATTCAGTAGATCGAACCAATCACGATACCCAACCTTCTACTTTCCCTATTTGTCGATAAAAAACTTTTGAATTTCAATAATCTAATTCCATATTTTCTGAAAGGTACAGAAAAGGGATTCTATTCAACTTTTCTTCAAAACTTTACTACTTTTCCAGTTAATTTCCATTAACAACAATCTGCCTTTGTTACTCTGTAAGATAACAGTGAGAAGATTAAGTATTATACATATATTAATTAATAACGTATCAAGGAAATTTTTAGATTCTCTTATATAAATAAATCGTTTTGTCTCTTTGAGCTAGAATTAACCGTTTGAACCTTGTAACTGATAAGGTACGTGCACATCAAAACATTGCACAAAATATTTTATTGAATACAGAATGAAAAAACTTTTGTCTCATTTCTACTAAGTTTATCATTTGTAACGACCGGTTTCGGATAATTAGACCATTTTTTAACTAATACATGAAGCCAAGACAAGTACTTAAATATACCATGATAAGGTCAGGTACCTGAAATAACAAGTGTTATCTGAATAATCAATATCAATACTACAATAACTAATTATATTCTATAATACATCACGATTACCAACTGTTGAGGATCCTAACCTAGATGTATGAATTCAAAAGAGGCGAGCTACATAGTTCTAGTTGATTATTGAGAGTTTTGAAATTGGGGTTTTTGTACAATTTATTTATCACCAATGCTTTCAACAAATTCATCTTCCTTCCTTCATTGCATGTATGAAGAATTTTCATGTTTTCATTTATTTATAGTGTGGAATGCGTTTCCGTAAAGCAGACGTCCTGTCTGAAGTAAAGGAAGTCAAAGGAAGGGTTCCACAGGGCGGGGTAATAGGTCCTATCCTGTTCAACTTGTACACAGCCTACCTAGCCTACTGACAGAGAACGCCTTAGAATAGAAAAGGATGATATCTAACGTGCGACTTGGTGCGCCTATTTGGGTTTTAGAGAGCACAGTCCCCGCCGCAAGTAGCAATAAGGGTTGATGGTCCCGTGGGTTGGGCTACCTATCGGGCGCGTCCCCAGGTGGCTGATGGGGGAACGGCCAGGGAACTGAGGCCCTGTCCGGGAAGCCAATGTGGCCTTACGGACGGGGTCGCCGGACTCTTGGTCAGTGGCAGAAATAAGTAGGCCTTTGTAAAACACGCCGCCGTGGACCAGCCTACCCAAGCTAAGGTGTAAGGAATCGTGCCGACTGGTTGGCCGCAGGGTGATATGCGGTTATGAACGATTCCCTTGGGGAACTGGGCGAAACCGCATTGTAATCAGCCTACCTCTGGTAATGCGGGGCTCTTCCAGAGGCTACCAATTCTTCCCTTGCTACTCGTGGGAACACACATGAATGAAACTAACACGAAAACAGAAACAACAAAAACCAATCCCGAAGCTGGACAGAAGTGCTCACCTCAATCTGAGGCGGTGGCAGGGGATGAACAGAAATGTCCACCCCAATCTACCGCTTGGAATGAGGCTGGACATAGCAGATCACCTCGTGACGTATTACAAAGGCCAAGGCGTAAGCGCATTTGCGGCGCCGAGGCCAAAAGGAGAAAGAGAGCGAAGTGCCAGCAATTATAAGTGCACCCTCCTCCTACCCCACTCCACCTTCAACAGCAAGGGCTGTTGCGGCGGGCGCCAAGAGCTCCGCCTTGAATAAAGGCAAGAAACCGGCTGTCCCTGCAGGAAAGCTCCGTCACTTGTGCACCTCCACGGAGGGAACCCGAGGAAGGTTGAAGAAGCCGCGCAACGACAGTAATATCGCTGCACCTCACAAAACCTTCGCGGAGGTCACTGTGAGACACCTCAAAATTGCCAAAGAGAGTGTGTGTTCGGCGAGTCTTGGCCTACACCTGCCGATATAAAAGAGATGTCTCCCAGTAACCTGTCCACCTTCCTAGAAAGGACAGGATGGACGATGACCTAGGAGGACAACTCCTCGGGAGGATGTATAATGGGTCACATGTGGCCTAAGTGCCACCCCCTCTACTCTACAGATACACAGAAGGGTTGATGTTTCATTAATTGATGGTCAATAATTATTAGTTTAGTATGATGATGCGGTATTTACGTAATAAAATTTCAATGAGTTTGTCTTTCAGCAGTCTGTATTGCATTTAATTTCGGGTTTATTAAGGAAAGGAAGAAAGACTTATTCTGAAAATGTAATTTATTTGGATTGAAGATTGAATTTCAAATGAAAACTTCATGAGAAACATTATATTTATAGAGATGAATGAATCCAAATAAAAATATAGTTAAAGTTGTGATCAAAAAATTACAAAGGTTCAACTCCAGACAGATCGGAATCGCGTATCATACTTCACCGAAGTGGACACTACAATATTGTCGACAGTGTGGACTGAGCTCTGATCGTCTTTAAGCGTATTCTACCTCGTTTGCGCGAGGTAGAGAGACAAGCTCAACGTGACACAACTCTGTAAAGCCTGCATACTACACAACATTGATGAAACGCTTCCCGAAGTGAATTCAAGCCTCACCTAAATTAGCAACGAATCCATCACATCAGGCTTGAACCCCAGCAAAAGGGTCGCCATATGTGAATACTTAGCATAAAAAAAATGTTATCTGGAAATAAACTAAACTTAGATTTAGTAAAAAATAGAATAGTTGACGACAATTGATATTGTAATGATGAAATGCATCTTTTTTAAATGAAAGTGGATAGAAGAATGAACTGAAATGCGGACGAACATTTGAATTCAATTTTTTGTAATTCAGTTGGTGAAGCAGAAAGTCAAAAAGCTTTTTCCCCAATAAATGTCAACCTCAGTATGGGCACAAAACATCATGTACTTTGAAAGAAAAAACCTTCATGGTTAGCTATAACAGTATTTTGCACGACATTGTATTTGATGATGTTGGATAAAACTAGTGAATCATTTTCTTAATTCAATTATCACAAGAGGTGTTTGGTTTAAATTGAAATGGGTATATTTTTGGTTACTTTTTGGGAAAGGTTTTTAGCTTTCTAATTCTCTATCTTCATATAAAAATAAAGGAATCTTTCAAAGAAAGTGATGGAAGCAATCAGTTCAAAAATTAACAGTATCCAAAGATGTCTAGTTCATGCAAAGAAGTAACTTTCGGATAAAATTACACGAAAGGAAAATCAGTTTCGTTCTTTTTGCCTTTGGAAGTTTCCTATATTTTTTTGCATGAAGATGGAGAAGTAGAAAGCCAGAACCATCCTTCCTTTTCCAAAGCATTTGAATTGTTTGAAAATTTAAACAAAAACGCACAATTTTAAAAATGTCTTTACTCTTCTTCTTCCATTTTTATAGGAGTGGCTTCTCTAGTCAGGCGCATTTGACCAGTGCTCTCCCTACCCACACAGCACTAGATATTCATGGAATATTCCCTGTATATCATATAACGAACGTATATATTCCAAATATTCATAGAATATTCTTGAAATATATACATGCCTTTAGAATATTCATAGAATATGCTTGAATGAATATGGCAGGATTATTCCCGAAAGAATGTGCATAGAATGTCTATAAATGGATTATTCTCCCTTGAATATTCTAAGAATATTGTCGATCGAATATACCATATGGTATATTCTTAGAATATATCCCCACGGTATATTTTGGAATATTCTATACAATGGAATTTTGAATTATCTTATAATAACGTATTCAAATAACTCAATATTATTGAAAACACAAATATTTGAAGACATTAATCGAATGCATAACCTAATGTATATAACCCTGATAGTGTTAGCCAGTTTTTGAACTCAACGCGAAGATTCTGGATGAATTACTCCAACAGCAACTGTTGGAAACGACAAAAAAATTTGAATGGGCCAATAAATGAACCAATTGCATCAATAAATTGGTTAATTCTCATCCTATTTGTCTTTTTGTATTTGAAATTATTCAATTACAAAGCGAAAAATCCTGGAAACAGAGAAATGGGGAAGTGAATAATTGGAGTAAACGTTTCTCATTGGTCAATTGAAGTGTAGCGCGAGACAGTCGAATAAGCTCTGTGAAAGCGGCTGTCCCTTAATGCATGGTACATTTGCGTTTGCGTTAAATTCGACATTTGATTCAACATGGCGGTTGACGTGGCAGGTTCGCGTGTGTAATGCATGGTGTGTTGGTGTTATTATCAAAGTATAATTCTGTCACGTTCAGTGTACCATTTATAATGTGGGGTTGTCCAATTTGCAGTACAGCGAATAGTTTATTACGTATGTGTGCTTATCGATTTCTCTGCTAGTTGTACTCATGTTTTGTGCAGAAGGCAGGAGTTAAGCAGTTAAGAAAGGGACAACATTGTCCCAAAAAAAGGGGTCCACTAATAGTGTAAGTCGAGGATGAGAGGAGGAAAAAGCGATCCCCCCCTTTCTACAATTAAATGTTGTTGTATTTTATGTTGTTGTATTTATTACTGAAATTTTTACATGATTGTGGAGATAAATGAAGTCAGTGATAATTTCCAACAAACGATAAAACAACATTCTTCTCGAACTCACCTGTAAGAACCACAATTAGGTGGTAATTGAAGATAGTGGCCATGTTGCTTTTGTAGTAGTAACTCTCTAGACTAGATCACACTTTTCAAAGTCTCCAGATGCTGTAGAATGTTTCTTGGGGAAAATATAAATACCCATGTCAACCACTACATTGGGAACAACTTCCGAACGGACAAATAACAATTCAATGTGGCTGATAATTTTTATATCAATTTTTGTAATGAACTGGTAACACAACCGTTCAAAACATGTTAAGGATTTGATTCTTCGAAAATATCTCTTTATCTCGTTTCTTACAACAATACCATTGCAAGCTACTTATAAATATATGTGCAAGTAAGCCATGATTGTTTGATAAAGTTATTCAAACAATTCTCCTCTTCTTTATCTAGATACATTTTCCTGTGTTTATTTGTGAATGAAGGTGATAAATGAATACGACTTAGAGTGAGTTGAAAAAAATGTCAATAGTGTTTTCCAAGGAAGAGATAATTAAGTACTGAATTATGGAGTTTTCTGTAGCTATCAGATAGAGGATATTCAGGAAAAATATTTTTTCCGTACAAATGCTTCACAGCTGAATAAGTAGTTTATTTCACGACTTAAAAATCATGTTAAATAGGCATAAAGCTCTTAAAATGTGAGCAATAGTTCAGCGAAAACATATTTGTATTAATTTCATAACACACGAAATAGTTTTTCGTTAATAACAACTTAAAAACTATGAATGAAATCCTGAATTATTTCAATCTTTTTTGTCTGTATTATATATACAGTATAATATATACAGGGTGTTTCATAACTAACGACTAACAACCTAACGAATCACCCTCTATAGTTTTGTATCGTAGTTAGGAAACACACTGTAATTCGCTTTCAAACGTTGGAAATTTCATACATATTTACAATTTTTGTGAAGGAGTTATGAACAAAAAAATTCCGGCAGTGAAATATTAAAATTGTTGAAATCATTATGTTTATTCTCTTATTTACAATGAAATATTATCTAAAATTCGTTTATTTACTGTATCACAGTTAATTTAAGTAAATACCTTTCTCAACGTCTTTAATCACACCAGATTTCTTATCTATTTCTACTTCTCGAATTTTCACCGATTGTAACATATTCTGGATCTCACTGAAACTTTTCCCTTTTGTCTCTGGGACGTAAAATATACTGAAAATGGCACAACATAGACACGAAACTGCAAAAACCCAGAATGTCCCGGATTTTCCGATCCACTGATTCATGTCGTTGAAAGTCTTAGTAGTGGTGAAAGAAGTCACCCAGCAAAAACTGGTGATTGTCGACGAAGCAATTTGCTTAACGTTGTTCGGAAATAACTCAGAAGTGAGCGTCCACGGTACGGAACAGATCCCCAGATTGAAAAATACGATATACCACATCAAACTGAATATCGGTATCCAGTTTATCGACTTGGTGCAGTAGTTGAGGTCTTGAATATGGAAGAAAATTCCCAGCAGAGTGAGAGCCAGACACATGCCGAGACAAGAGCAAATGATGAGAGCCTTTCTTCCTGCTCGGTCGACCAGAAAAGGAGCTACGAAGCTCGAGATCAGGAGGACAAAACCGACGATGAAAGCTGATAAGTCAGCAGAGATATTGGTGCTAGCAGATTCGAATATCGGCTCCAGGTGGTAAGTTATAGCACAAAATCCGGAGAGCTCTTGTGAGACTATCAGGACTAAACATATGAGTAAAGCTTTCCTAAGAGTTTTATCTTTGATGATGTCCCAGAAATTTCCGTCTTCGGTCTGCTTCAAGTACGCCTTGATGCTGGAAAGTTCCTCTTGGACTTCTTCCTTACTGAGAGACCTCAGCAGCATAATGGTCTCCTCAGCTTTTTCTATTTCTCCAACTTCCACGAGATAATACGGGGATTCTGGCACAGAAATGGTGAACAACACCAGGAACGTTATGGGTATGATGGCAAGCGCCGTGTTGAACCAGTACACTGTCAAAAAGGGACCGAGGACGTAGGGCAAAAAGTTGCCGATAGCCCAAAACACGTTGAGGGTTAGGGACATGGCTCCCCTGTTATCATCCCGAGATATTTCTGCTATGTACATGGGCAACAGAGAATACCCTGCCCCTACAGCCAGGCCTGCGAGAAACCTGGCGAAGTAAAATAAGTAGATATGTTTTGCGAACGCCATGATTAAGAACGAAATGATTTGGGGTAGAGCTACCGCTAAAAGTGCTATTCTTCTTCCTATTTTTCCCGCTATTATTGCGTAGGGATAGGGCCCGATGATGGCCCCTAGGTTGAGTAATGATCCTATCCAAGAATCTTCGTCAGGTGATATTGGTCTTCCAAGAGGGTTGACAGATGTGTCGTTGGAGTACAATTTTGGGTACATCGGGGAAGTCCATGATAATGTGACGTCACCTGAAGTGGCCAGCAGATCAACTGAAAAAGAAATAAAGCGATTATTCATCATTGTATGTTTGATAATTACAATTGGTATCAAGTTTAAGCGGACTCGAACCTTTTTATTCGATGAGTTAAACCTATGGTTACTTTGGGGAAAGCGTTGCTTCAACAAATCATCTATTAGATGGTCTACTCTCAACATTTTCATTTTCACTTTATCTTTCACATGCCCTACGCAATCATTCCACTTTTAGGCGGTAATAGACGAAACAGCTTCACTAAAAATATTTTTAAGATCACAAAATTTAAAAGTAGTATTTTTTTTGGCAACATAAATATTTATGCTCGTCCAAATAAGCTCTACTGGGTTGAGCTCGCAGTGGTAAGGGGGAAGACCTAATACTATTCTATTATGTGCTTCAGCTATTTCGTCAACAAGGTATTTATTATATGTATTTGGTTTCATGTTCATTCACAATCCTTGACCACACTCTCAGATTCGAAAAGAACTTGAATAACTTAATACGACGTGCATATTCTTCTTTAAAATTGATATATGGATTTAGGCAGTATCTTCAACTTAAATTGAAATTAGTATTATGTGAAGCACTAGTTTTATTACATTTTAACTATGCTAATACTGTCTATGGACCACATTTGAGTGAGCAGTATAAACGTAAAATTCAAAAAGTACAAAACTGGTGCTTGAGACTTATTTATGGAATAAGACGTTCTCAGAGAATTACTCATAAGCTCAAAGATGCCTATTGGTTAAATATTAATAACAGAAGAATCTTGCATGCCGCCAACTTATTCCATAAAATTATTCTTACCAGAAAGCCTGCTTATCTTCATAGAAAAATTTCTTTTCGAACGGATGTCAATATCAGGTTCAGGGGAACACGTACTCCACCTTCTTTAAAAACTGAATTTTTCCGCAGGTGTTTCAGTTATCAAATATGCCATGTAATGAATGACCCTCAATTATAATCTATTTAGCCATTTATTCAATACACGTCAGTGATATGATTTCAGAACTTCACATCGTTTTGCTACTAATTCTGTAAACTTACTTGCCGTAGTGTGGACAAATTTGTATATTTTTCCTTTGTTTTTGTATTATTCAAAGAAAATTCAATAGAAAGGTATTTTTTAGGGTTAAGTGGAAGAACAGTTCAGTCGTTGAATTTATTCAGGAACTGAACTACACTTCGCCCTTTATTTTCAAAAATTTTCTGTTGGTGTATTTCCTCAATCTTTTTTTTACATATTTTTTGAAAATAAAGAAGTCGATTATTATTGTTATTATTATTATTATCAAAAGTTCTGCTTTTACCATGTTATCCTCTAACCGTATACTTTTCAAACGCATCCATTCTGTAGCAAAAAATTTTTCAGCTTTTTTACACAATTCTCTTCTAGCTTCGGAACTATGTTCCTAATTCAAGTCTCAAAAGATATTATGATGAAACATGCATAGGCAACTGATTATCAAAGATTATCAAAGAAAGCAACATAGTCGTCTGAAGCAAATAGCACTGCTACTCACCCACAAAATCATTGAGATATGTCTACCCTCTATATCCCTTGAGGACGCCGCTAACGAACCATTAAAATAGGGATATGCGACAAAGAACGCGAAAACACCGACAAAGAATGCGAAAATACCGCCAAAAGAACCGCTCAATGTTTTTTCTGATATTACGTTTAAGATAATATTAATAGGCGTCAGACTGAGGGTATTAATATAAATTTTCCATTGATATATTCTGTATAATGAGAAGATAATTAAAATATAAAATAATCAGAATATTGAATTTACAAATAAATACAAATGTAGAAAGGGCAAAAAGTTACTGCATTTGATAAATTAGTTTCTTGGAAAAAATCAAATTTGTCATAAACTTGAATTTAAAAAATTTTGCATATTAAAACAATATGTATCATCTGGTGACGTTTTAAAGACTATATCCATTTTCTTTATCCAACCTATTTAAATCAAAACATTATAATTTGTAGTTATGATTCGTCTTTTGATGAAAATCAATTTGATATTATTATTATCATTGACACTGGTAATATCAAATTGATTGTCGGTATTAAAATGAAGATAAGACCATCCCTGAACCGGAACCTAGGCTACTCTTTACTAGATGCCGCCACACGCCTGATTTGAGCATTAAACATTGAAATATAAAGAGGTATTTTTTACATTTTGTTAGTTTTTATCAACTTCATCGTTCTTTGCTAAAACTTCGAACTTATTGAATCGACGTGATCGTCTAAACTTGGCAGAAACGTGCAACTAATAACAAAAATTCATTTTTTAAACAAATCAGAGTTAATGATTGGTCTTCCTATTTCAAGGAAGACCAACCTAAACCAACCCCCGTTTTCTTCGACTTGAAGGCCAACAGTCGGGGACAAAACCGGTTTCGCTTCCTATGTGACATACTATCAACCTTTTTCCTCTTCCTGAAAAGGGATTTATTTTGTTTGAGTTGAAACAGGAGAAGCGTTTCTTCTCACAGGAATAACATCACATAACAATAACAAGTTATATTGTTCTTGTTATGCACTATTTGGAACCTTTGGTGTAGTAATGAATATTACTGGAGTTTTTTTCCCAACACCAAACCGTTATTTTTAATACCTCGACACGTGTTTCGATGACCAAGTGATCATCTTCAAGAGGAAGATCAAACTAATCATACAAAGTTATCCTTATTTATACCATAGATACCTTTTTCAGGTACCTGCGTCTCAAGTGTCTTAAATTAATTTCACAATATTGCCTCATCTACTAGTCTTAAATTAATTTTACAATGTAAAATTAATTGTAAAATTCACATTCACATTGTAAAATTAATTTTACATTGTAAAATTAATTTAGGACTAGTAGATATGGCAATATTGTGAAATAAACTTTATATAGCTGTAGGCTCTTATTTTAATAGGGGACCCCAAACGGGGATTTCGGGATTCACTAAAGCGCGGCAGATTAATATACAGGGGGATACCTTGTACCCGGTTAAGTACCTCCATCAAATATGAGCCCCATATATAAGGCCGCCTGTGAGGGATAAAGGATCAGATTAGTAAGGAAAAATTGATCATCAGAAATTCTCGAGCGCGTCAGATTAAGGTAGGGTGAGTTAATTACCTGCTAAAAAGTGTATATTCCAGTAATCAGACAATTTGAGAGTGACGTAAAGAAAGGGGACTGCAGCTAAGTTGTGAAAAATAACGTCATTTCGACATTCTCGAGCGTAGCTAATTTTTTTTTATTTTGAAGAAAATAATTCAAGGATAACGATAAATATATAATCTGACGATTTCCGCAAGCCGAAATAACAAAAATTCGTCGATAAAGTTTAATGCGTGCAGCCGTGTGATACCTATATTTCCCTCTCCGAGTTTCTATTCCTCTATTCTCTATTAACTTTTTCTCTATCTATTACTCTCTCACTCCATCCCCACTCTGAATTCTGTTGCCATGACGCCATCTCAGCTGATCACAGAGACTTGTTCGTGATGAAGATGAAAAGATGATGATTAATTAATCAATTAATTGATGGATGTAGCCGTTACTACGTGGTAGGAAATCATAATGAAGAAAAGAGAAATTGAACTTTTTTATACAATATATAAGGTTGAAAATGTCCTTTTAAGACGAAACTGAAGTAACGTTAGTTACAAATGGTAAAAAACATAGAAAGTTTCATTTCTCTTTTCTTCATTAATCAATCAATTGATTATAAAAAATTGAAATTTTTTTGGATTTTTTTTAAATTATTTTCTTATAAATACAAGTATTCTACTTATAAAACATACACTTATTTATTTGCATGCTTTTTCCTGAACTTTTCAATTAATTGAGTTCAACGAATTTAAAAAAATTCAAAAAAAATATTGTTTTTGTCAGATTAAGCGAATCCCTCTAGATAATCGTCAGATTATGAGACAGCACGTCTGAAACATAAAGATAAACCATATATATCTTAATCTGACGCGCTTGAGTATTTCAAAATGACGATTTTTTTTGCACATTATAATAATGGCCGCGAGTTTGCGTCAGATCGAAATCGACAGATTGAATGAGAGCTTTTTTTTGTTACACTCAACACCCCCTTAGAAAATCTGACGCGCTCGATTAAATTTTTTTTTTCACTTTTAACGCTTACGTACAACCACCCACATCATGCAAACGATCAGATTAACATACCAACATTATTAAAAATTCGTAGGACATTGATGCTATCAATATCTGAGGCGCTCGAGTATGTCCATGCAACAGTATTTTTTTACATATTTAAAAATCTATAGCCGCTTCCCCCACCGATGAAAAGGTATATATTATATAACATTTTTTTCTTCTTATCATCAAAGCTTTGCAACCTAATATGTCTCAATGACGCTCGAGTAAATTCCTATTTTGCTCCCCTGCTATTTTCATTGAATATTGTCGTCTCCACAATACTATTTCTGGTTTCTCGAGCAACAAACTATTTCTCCCCCTTTTTTTAAATTCAAAAACTACTTTTTTTTTAATATGTGAAATGTCAACTGAGGATACACTACAAAACACACTTTTGTCTATTTTCCACTATATTTCTTTATTGTTGACCGGTTTCGGCTATTACACCATTTTCAAAACTAACTGATTACATTTAAATCTGAGTAATTTATATCTATGTTGCTTATTCTATCATAAATGATTTGATATACTTGATACCCGGTACCTGCGTTTCATATACCTGTAAAATCCATGAACATAACAAAGCTTTCAATATAATGTAGGTTTTGGGATCTAGATTATAGGTTCAGGAGAGGACTATTATTTAAATCAAGTTGTTCGTTGAGGACAATGGAATTGGGATTGACCTGTTTATTTCCATAGATTCCAACATACTCATCATTTTCCCTTTTTTGCATGTGTGTAGGATCTTTAAATTATCTTTATCTATTTTATGTTTCGAATTTTGAAGATGTTCGTACATTAATGATTTTTTATCCGAAATGACATGTTCGTGGTACCTTGTATCAAAATTTCTCCCAGTTTGGCCTGTATATATGGCGGGGCATTCACCACATTCTATTCGATATATACCAGATCTATGAAAATGGTGTAATAGCCGAAACCGGTCAACAATAAAGAAATATAGTGGAAAATAGACAAAAGTGTGTTTCTGTAGTGTATCCTCAGTGAACATGAATTTCCACAAAATACACAAGTCGTCAATCGAAGAAGTGAAATGTCAACCTTTTGAAATCGTTTACAACTTTTAGAACTGAATCTATTGTTAGTATTTCGTTTCGAAAAAAAAGATGTGCTTTCATTGTATTAGCGTTTAAATAAAAATCGTCTACCTCATCAATAATTTTCTTTCGTGAGGGATATGGTTTTTGAGCCAAAAAATAATGCTTTTGTTTTTATTCTCTCATAACTTCATAGACACTTGAAAGAGACACTCCAGCGATGTTTCCTACTTTTTTCACGACTTCATCAACAGAGAATCAAGGATTTGCTTCAATTTGATTTTTGTAAATGTTCATAATTACATTTTTTTCATTAGTATTGAGGCGCAGTTTTTTTGGTCGTACAGACACAAATTAGCAGTTTCTTCAGCCGCATCAGTACTTGACATTTTAAACATTTTAAACTTTGAAATACCGTATATGTATACACCGAAGGCGTTAAAACGTAACTGACTACTCCAACATTGTAACAAAGAATTCCGCCAGCCGATTGCAGTTAAATCTGATTGGCCAGCATAGAGGGGCTTGTTTATTTTACCCAATAGATGCAAATGTGCGCGGTGATCAAGCTTTGATTATGTATCTGTCGTTGTTTAGGTTGCTTTGTTTGTTGGATGGATATATAGTTTGGACACAGATTAAATATGGAGCTTTACGAATCTAGGAAGAGATTAAAACATTTTTCCTCCCTCCCTGTCTCGCTTTCACTACCTTCTGAAGAATGCGCATGTAGTAGGCGGGAAGATATCGAAATTTAGAAAGCTCTTCCTGAATTTGAAGAAATGTATGCACCACGGGTGATGATAAATGTGTATGCCCTCATTTTCGTAAACATTCACCTAGATTCAATGATCGAAAGCCCCCCATCCCTTTCCCCAATAAAGTCACTCGACTCACCTATTAAAATAGCTGTAACTGAAGATTGGAAGTGTTTCATCTATAAGCTAATTTAACGACTCTGCTTGAATTACTACGATGATTATTTTCGTTCACTATCACATTACACATTTGATTCTAAATATCAAGAAATAATCATAGGAAGAGCAAGATAATGCTTAGAGGGTCAACATAACATCGTGACACTTCACTGCTGTTTAAGAAATGATGAAAGTTGAAATGAATAAGCAGAATCAGAGCGAGGGAACTTAGGAGATGGTCTTTGGTCACACCTGAACCACTTGAACAGTGGTCAGTGTCATCAGTTGGGACAATTCAGGTAGTTGTAGTTGTGCATGCAAGGGCGTAGTTCTATTTTTTGCCAAAAGGGTTTTTCAATATACAGTGTGTGACAAATCGGGATTCCATTAGAAGTAGGCAGGGCCGGATTTAGGGGAGGCCAGGAGGGGCTATTGCCCTTCAGGAGAGGTACCCCCATAAAAATAAAAAATATCAAAATTTTGACGGGTCATCAACTTTTACGTTTTTCCCGCCAAATATTTTTTTGCATTTTTACTAAGAATACTCGCACAAACATAATATTATTGTTGTCGATATATCAGAAAGACCTGATTGCATGTTTCCATTTACAATCAATTGAAAAATGGTTCAACCTGCAGGTCACCCTTAAAATTTCTCGTTTCTTCGAGCTCTAAGTTCTGAAAGTTACTCGACGAAATCACTTGAATTGAGATATTTCAAACGACACTATCTATTAAACGCGTTGATGTTTGCTCGCATAGTCAGAAAACTCCGCCGATTACTTTGAATTGTGAGTGGTCTTTCAGGTCAGATGGTAAGAGAACGGCTGTGCTGAACTCTAAAAACCTGATTGGGCAGGCATAAAGTATGTGCTCTGCTATTTCATCATTTTCCAAACAGTGGCGACGCACACTGTCGACGCACACACCTCGGCATATGATGATACAAACGACAGTGACCTTTAAGAAGGCCTGTTAGACATCGTAGTTCATCCCTACTGTAGTCCAACAACTGTTTGGTATCAAGCTCACATAATTCCAATGGATTTCTTTGGGATCTAAACCCCAAGTTTTACCACAAATCCTTCGACATGTCCATAGGGACAGTCTGTGTAAAACTTCTTGCAAGTGAACGTTCCAGGTGAGTTTTTCATCAAGAACAATGTCAAGATATTTCACCTCCGTTCCAAATGCTGGGATTGATAGACATCTGCTCCCTCAGGCACCAACTGTGAACAACGTCCAACGTGCTTTGGGGGATATTACAAGCTACCCTTCCCGACGTGGACCTTGCCAAGATGACAAGGTCATCTGCATAAGCTGGCAGATCTACTCTTCTTCTGTCGAGGGCATCAAACAGACTATCCATCAGGAGCGACCACAGAAGGGGAGATAGTACCTCACCTTGAGTGTAGCCTCCGGTGACCCTGTACCTAATGTATACAGGGTGATTCGAAAGTACTTTGACAAACTTCAGGAGGTAATTTCTCACAATATTCTAATATGAATTGTTCAAATAAATAAATGTCCGGAAACGCTTCGTTTCCAAAATACAGGATGTTTTTTTCAAATAACTTTTGAAATACTGAACTTAATTAAACGAAACTTGGTAATAGGAGGTTTTTGAGGTGTCGAATTCGAACCTGATGTTCTTATTGCTCTTACTCGTAGGGGGCGCCACCTACACGTCTTTTTCTTTTTTTTAAAGATTCATAACTTTTTTGGGCGTACGCCTGTGAAACAATAAGAAACACACCAATAATTTTTGAGCGGGTACGAGATTCAATGACTAGATGACTGACTGCCTGTATCTTCGCTGAAGGTGGACACTTCCAACAATTTATTTGAATACAATTTAGTTTCGTTTATTTTAGTTTATTCTACATATTCAAAATTTCCTGAAATAAAATGTTGACATTTCTTGCAAATTTTATTAAAACAAATACTGATTATGCACCCTTGTTACAAAAATAACTATTTCGCTTAAGGATGTCATAAAGGAACGTACCCAACAGTAATGACCTCTTCAAACGAGTAAAACGTCAAATTCATTTCCAAAGCATCTTTGTGAAAAAAGCAAAATATTCTTAATAACTTCAACATGCATCGATTATCAAATAATCGACTTGATGTTTTCGAGTCCAAATATTTAGAAAACGGTTGCTTACAGCGACTAGTAACAAGGGTGGCTTATTTACGTAGATATGATAGAAGAATCGATTTTTTTACTGGAAAATGTGCTAGAAGTACGCCCAAAAAAGTTATGAATCTTTAAAAAAAAAAGACGTGTAGGTGGCGCCCCCTACGAGTAAGAGCAATAAGAACATCAGGTTCGAATTCGACACCTCAAAAACCTCCTATTACCAAGTTTCGTTTAATTACGTTCAGTATTTCAAAAGTTATTTGAAAAAAACGAAAATAAAAATAAAACTTCAACATCCTGTATCTTGGAAATGAAGCGTTTCCGGACATTTATTTATTTGGACAATTCATATTAGAATATTGTGAGGAATCACCTCCTGAAGTTTGTCAAAGTACTTTTGAATCACCCTGTGGAGTACAAAATTCTCTATTGATAAGTATATACCACGACATAGTAGAATACATAGTTTTACAAAAACACATGCCATTGAAACGGACAAAACATTTGAAACAACCTGATATTTTGATAGATTATGCAATATTGCACATTCAGCGTTCAGCAAAACTATTTCTACACATTATTCCAATATGTTTTGACTGAGTATTCCGTAATATCGTCTCTCAAACTTTACGATGACTTATTCAAATGTTATATACCTAGCAACAATAGTACAGTTTAATTATTAATTATTACATTATTTATCACTCGATAAACTTTCCGATTCATTAGATGATTAACTTTTTTCTGAAGTAATTGTTTCACAATCTACAAATCATTTTTGAAGTGTCTCTCTGTACAAAAAGTAATTTTAATTGATAGCAATAATATAATTAAAGTGTACCGTGTACCTGTAATTTGGGTTGTTTTCAGGAACTTTTAAGTATTCCCGTAAATTTTTCTACTTAGACTCATTTATTTTCTTGGTCATCAAGTAATGGGTTTCAATGATATAAAAAATTAAACACTATCCAATAAAATAGCGAAGGAATATATGAGATAAAGTCAAAAAGAAGTTAGATGTGAAATTAAAGAAATCTGGCCAGTAGTCCAGTTAAAGGACATGCAAACGTGTTGGTCAAAACAATAAGTGCGTCATGAAAGAGATATACTTTTTTCAACGAGTAGGTGAGGACCAATTCAAGCATTCTCTCATAATCAACCAACTTATCGAAATCAGCAAGACCATCGTAGTTATTGGACTAGGCTGCTTTGAAGGCAGCAGCTTAGTCCAATGATTGGGCAGAAGAGGAAAGAGCATCTATACTTGAGAACTAGAAATATAACAGAAATCAGCTGAAACCAAAGGACCAAGAAATAAGCTAAAAACAAGAAAAAAATGTGGCCGTTTTTCCGCCAGTTCAATTCCACATGTGCAAACCGTTATTTGGCAGAGGTGCATGAGTTCAACAACGACTATGGCATATTACTTTTGGAAGATAAATGTTTTAAGCTCAATCTCCCGGAATTCTTAGAAACTACTACATTTATGGATTCGGAAAACTTACTAAATTAACACAAATATTCAAATTCTTCCTATATGTTTTGTTTGTTTGTTGAAATTGGTAATTGCTTTCTTATTAGTCAGTGGACTATGCTTGAAGACTGGCAGTAAACAAATCTAAAGAAATGAACTTTAAACGTTCAAGCCAGTCTCGGATATACCTACACAGTAGATTGAATGGACTGACACCTATCAGAAAACAACTACTCCCCTGGATAATACCACGAAGGGCGTTAGATTATATCCGACAGGCTTCGGTGCAGGAATTTTCACAGAAAATTTCCTGCATATCTTTTCTGATAGGCGTCAGTCTATTCAACCTACTGTGTAGCTATATCCGAGACTGGCTTGAACGTTTAAAGTTCATTTCTTTAATTTTGTTTACTGCCAGTCTTAAAGCATAGCCCACTGACTAATAAGAAAGTTTTTCTTCCTTATTCGTAGGAATCGGACAAATTTCGGATATGCAGTCCACTAGATGGAGTGACACTTTGTTGTTCGCTCCAACTTAGGAAGAGAAATGAAATACACTGAAAGAATTCCGATTTTCAATTATGGAATATCATTGACTTTAGGTCAATGATGGCCACTACCTTGCACTGACGAGTGGCTAATGAGCCCGAAACCGGTCTGCAAGTGCGTGCGTTCCAAAATTGAAGGTCGACTCCTGCATATGCCAATTGCATATGCAGGAAATTTTCTGTGAAGATTCCTGCACTGACGCCTGTCGGATATATATAATCCAACGCCCTTCGTGGTATTAGCCAGGGAAGTAGTTGTTTTCTGATAGGCGTCAGTCCATTCAACCGACTGTGTCTTTAGAATTGGTAATAGGTTTAATGCATATCCATCTGAAGAGCTAGTAAAATGTCTTCTATATTGTTTACATTTTCAATTGGTGTATACCTAAACTCTGGTGAAGGCTTAGGTTGTGGAGTGTACTCCAGATCACTAAGCCTAAGGATTAAGTGGGAATGGAAAAAAAATACCAGCGTGGTCCAAACAGAACTGGCTGGTATCTCAATCGCCACAAAAGAAATAACCAGGAAAGCAATTTCTGACTAGAACATAACGATTTGCACTGATAGCAGACAAGCCCTATTAGCCTTGAACAGACAATGTGTTACCTCAGGGCTAGTACTAGAGTGCCACCAAGATTTAGCCAAAGCTGCTTTGGTAGATAATTACAGTATCTGAGGTGGGTTAAAGGGCACGACTATAGTAAAGGTAATCGCATTGCCGACTCTTTAGCCAAGGAAGCGGCTGGACTCGGAATTTTAGGACCCAATGGCACCTACGTCCTGATGACTTTGACAATTGCGGACCTAGCCAAAAGTCACATCCATGCTCAATCCCTAAAGAGATGGGATGAAATCAAAGGATGCAATCTTGTCAGGATCACCCCGGGCGACCCTGGGAAGCTGGCGCCGAAGAAATATCTGACGATGACCAGGAAAAATCTACGCTTAGCAGTAGGATTTCCGACTGGTCACTATCAACGAAGGAAACACCTCTACAATGTGGGACTAATGGACATATCTCTATGCAGGATGTGTGAACAGGAAGACGAGACTGTCAGGCATGTCCTGTGCGAGTGCCCGGAGTTATCGTCAATAAGGAGTTCTTGCCAGCTCACTCGTCATTATCGTTTGTAATTTTTTAGTCAAAAACAACAACATTATCATGCCTCATCCACCGTATCCACCAGGTTTGCCCCCCTGCGAGTTTTTCCTGTTCCTCCTGTTTCCTGTTCCGTCCTGAAAGGACGGCGTTTTCGACGACTGAGGAGATAAAAACCCATTCGCTGTACAATCGCTCAAGTACATTTCATTAAACGAAAAAATTCCACAATCTCAGTTAATTTGATTTATATCTATCTTGTCCATTAGTCCTGAGTTATCTAACAAAACATTTTTTCAATATTAGTGACATTGCGAAACATTTTGTTGTACGTAAAAGCGTGAGAGGGGCGATAAGATGAAAATGATGTGGAATGGTATTATTTAAAAACACTCCAGAAAAATTAGTTATCAATACGGTTCTAAACGCAGAGAAAGTTGGGGAAAAAAGTTATTGAATATTATGTTAATAGCAGTCAACAGGTTACCATGAGTTACACTTACATTGTTGCTTGCGCAGGTGAGTGTTCTGATTTTCAATGGTAATTAAAACTTTCTGTATCTGTAGAGTAGGGAGGGTTAGTGTAGACCCTTAGGCCACATGTGACCCAATGTGCATCCTCCCGAAGAGTTGTCCTCCTAGTTCATCGTCCATCCTGTCCTTTCCAGGAAGTTGGGTAGGTCACTGGGAGACATCTCCTTTATATCGGCAGGTGTATTGAGGTGTCTCACAGTGACCTCCGCGAAGGTTTTGTAAGGTGCAGCGACATTACTGTCGTTGCGCGGCTTCTTCAACCTTCCTCGGGTTCCCTCCGTGGAGGTGCACAAGTGAGGGAGCTTTCCTGCAGGGGCAGCCGGTTCCTTGCCTTTATTCAAGGCGGAGCTCTTGGCGCCCGCCGCAGGAAGTGCCCTTGCTGTTGAATGTGGAGTGGGGGAGGAGGACGGTGCACTTATAGTTGCTGGCACTCCTGCCTCCTTCGCTCTCTTTCCCCTTTTGCCTCGGCGCCGCAAATGCGCTTATGCCTTGGCCTCTGTATTACATCACGAGGTGATCTGCTACGTCCAGCCTCGTTCCAGGCGGTAGATTGTAGTGGATATTTCTGTTCATCCCCAGCCACCGACTTAGATTGAGGTGATCACTTCTGTCCAGCTTCGGGATTGGGTTTTGTTGTGTCTGTTTTTGTGTTTGTTTCATTCATGTGTGTTCCCACGTGTAGCAAGGGAAGAGTTGGTCACCTCTGGCAAAGCCCCGCATTACCAGAGGAAGGCTGATTACAATGAGGTTTCGCCCGGTTCTCCAAGAGGATCATTTGTAACTGCATATCACCCTGCGGCCATTCAGCTGTTGACACGATTCCTTACACCTTAGCTTGGGTAGGCTGGTCCACGGTGGCATGTTTTGCAAAGGCTTTTGGGGAGTTTTAGTTCCTCTCAACCTACTTATTTCTGCCACTGACCAGGAGTCCGGCGACCCCGTCCGTAAGGGGGCTTCCAGTCCCCTGGCCGTTCCCCTATCCGCCACCTGGGGACGCGCCCGATAGGAAGCCCAACACACGGATAATCAAAACTTTATACAAAAAAGTGGGAATCTTCCCCAAAGAAAGGAAGAAAGCAATTGATTTCAAAATAATCATCACGAAGATGTGTAAGATCATGAAAATAAATAACTTTCAGACATGAAATGGAAGAAAAAAATCTCTCGAAACAACTACTACGTTTCTATGAACATTGAATTATACAAGAAACGTTTTTTTCTATTCAGTTTGTACTCCAAACATTCGTTATGGAATTGATTCAGATATCATTCACAGGATTACTAAACAATGTCATATATGAAAGAGGTAATATTTCACTTACATGGATCACTGTCATCCTCAATGGCGGACATCGATGTTTCGGAATAAGGCATTCGTTTTATTGCCTCTTCAGCACCAATCTGGTACGAAATGACATCCATTCGCTTATTTGATTCAATCTCAGCCACAGGAATTTTGTTCAAATTGAAAGCGGTATATTTTTGGAAGAAAAAGAAGGAGAAATATTTTTGAAAAGAAATGTTTTGGCTTTCTAGTTCTTCATCTTCATACAAAAAAAATGTATAAAGATGGAGAACTAGAAAGCCAAAACCTTTCTGTTTCAATAATTACAACTATTTCATTGATTACATGCCACTTTTTCATGTCTATCTTAAAGACGAGTGATTTCGAAGTATTTGGATCATCTCAATATATTGGTGGATATTCTCAAATTAAAATTAGTTTTCAGATTACTTTGACTTTGGTTGAATCGTTTTTTATTACAATTTTTGGGTTGAAACCAACGACTGAATACAATTTCTAGTTTCGAACATTTTTGAATTTTTTTTTTTCGATGGAAGTTTTTAAAAAAATTACAATCAAGACTATATAGTTGTTTCTGTAATTCCATGCCAATAAGTTCATTGGGCGAAAATTCAAACGTTCTTAATAATTCGTTGCTGAGACTTCGAGATATAACCATCGTCCTTGCAGTTGAATATATTAACTGTTACTTGCATGTATATTTTTAATTGCGTAATCTACGTTAAATCAAATTGCTTCAAGTTTCAGAACAGAGATGATACATATCTTCTTTCGGGCTTCACCTTGAGAAAAACTATAATATTTTAATTCCTAGTCATAAGTTAGTCAAGGTGACTAATGGACCTCATATGTCAATAAAACTGTACAACAAACAAGCTCCCAATATCCATTAAAAAAAACTAGTGTAAAGCTCTTTAAAAAAAAAGTTCGGAAACTATTATGTGAAAAGGTATTTTATTCGCTTGATGAATTTTTTCAGTCTGATTTGGAATTTTAAATTTTAATTTTTGTATCCCTTTTATGGTCTAAATGTTATACAATATGTCATATAATTATATTGTTTTATGATTGTGACCTCATTGTAATTGTACTGAGTTATGTGACTTTTTCCATGACTTCCCTAGGTCTACGGAAATAAAGATTTTTTGATCTGATTTGATTTGATTTGAGTTAATTGATGATGTCTGCCGCAGTAGCAATCGAAACGTTTCGAAATTTTATTTCCATTCGACCACGACATACCAGCATGGATTTTGTTCTCTATGATGAGTTTTTAATCAAGTGATAAAAAACACATTCATGAAAGAATAATAATGATACTGAATTCAAAAAACTGTTGTTATATCAATGTTTAGGTTAGGTTAAGTTAGGTCAGAAGTGATTGGGTCTATTCGACCCACCACCGCAACCCGCAAGGGTTTGTTGTGGCTCACACTTATTCAAACTCGACAAAATATGCCCAGCTTCTTAACGAAGCCGATTAGTTGATATGGTGAGTGATCTTTCAGGTCAGATGGTAAGAGTGTGGTTCTGCCAAACTCTGAAAACCTGATTTCGTCCGCAGCGGGACAGGCACAAAGTATATGCCCTGCTGTTTCATTATTTTCCAAATAGAGGCGACACATACTGTCTTCCGACAGTCCGAGTCTCTGTATATGATGTTTCAGACGACAATGACCTGTGAGGAAACCTGCTAGATATCGTAGTTCATTCCTACTGTAGTCCAACAACTGTTTGGTTTCAAGCTACGAAGGGCGAATGAACGCCTTGGAGTGAGCCAATCTTGGATGATTTTGCCAAAAGTCCTTGAATCTTCTTGCCATCGAGGTGTTTAATGTTTGTTTGGCAAAACCTAAAGCGATGCCATTGAGCGGTCCTGATCCAATGAAGCTGCTTGCAGCACCCTCGGTTGCAAGGGAGTCAGCAGCCTAATTGCCTTCCAAGCCAGTATGGCCAGGAATCCAGACCAGAGACAATTTGTTAAGTCTTCCTATTGAGAAGAGTCGTTTTTGGCAATTTGCTGCCAATTTAGACGTTGCTCGGTAGGAGCTAAGAGCTTCCAACGCCGCTTGACTGTCCGAGAAAATTTTTATTGACTTATGTGTGAGGTTGGATTTTATCAATATCTCCGCACACAATTCAATAGCATAGATTTCCTCTTGAAATACAGTCGTATAGGTTCCTAGGCAGGTTGATATCTCTGTCCTGGATCTGCAACTGGAAACACTTGCACCAGAGCCTGAAGGTGTTTTTGATCCATCTGTAAATCAACAACTATCTGCTCTTAATATTTCCTTCTCCCGGAAGATCTAGTCCTCTTTACTCGAGAACAGTACTGTAGTACAAGCTTATCTCTGTAAGCCAGAGAGTTTCGCCTGAGCCGTTTCCTGTAAAGTCTTCGGCCATCAGGCAAATGCTCCATAAGTAATCATTGGTCTGACAATCATCACATATATCCAATGGATTTGTTTGGGACCTAAACCCTAAGTTCAACCACAAATCCTCCGACATGTCCATAGGGAAGATCTGGATGATTTGTGTAAAACTTTTTCCAAGTAAGCGTTCCAGGTGAGTTTTTTATCAAGGACAATATCAAGGTCTTTCACCTCCGTTCCAAATGGAATGACCTCACCATTGAGAGAAAATGGCTTCGTTCAATTTTCCCCTCCTGGTGAAGGGGATTATTAAAGTTTTGCTGGGGTTGTCAGACATCTGCACCCTCTGGCACCAACTGTGAATCATGTCCATCGTACTTTGCAGGATATTACAAGCTACCCTTCTCGACGTAGACCTTGCCAAGATGACAAGGTCATCCACATAAGCTTGCAGACTATCCAACTGGAGGGAAGATAATACCCCACTTCGAAGGCAGCCCCTGGTGACCCTGTCCTCGTCTTAAAGAATCATAGTTACAGTTCTTTTCACCAGCGTGGCATAGATCCCTCCAGTTATGGTCGATTCTATGCCTTTGCCAGCCAGGCCTGATCCTATAGATTTAGATAGTGCATTGTCAAATGCTTCTTCAATATCGAGAAATACAGCAACCACAGTCTCTTTGCTGTCAAGGGATTAATGCTGAATCTGTCGACTTGCCGGTTTGATATGCATACTAGTGGTTATTCAGGGAGGCTACATATAAAGCCACCTTTCTGATGTGTCCGTCCAGTATCCTCTCAAATTATCCTTCCAACAGAAATGATGTAAGGCTAATTGCTCGTACCGATTTGGGGTGTGGGTCTCTCCGGCCCACTTTAGGTATATATACCACACTTGCTGTCAACCAACTGGGTGGAATGTAGATCCACGCCAGACTAGCTCTATACAATTTTATGAGAAGGGGTAAAATTATTTCCAGTCCGTTTTGAAGAAGAGCTGAATATATACCATCCTCTCCAGTAGGTTTGAAGGGCTGGAACAAGTTGATAGCCCATTCAATTGCCGGTGCTGTGATGACCTTCTCAATGACCTCTCAATCGCTCTTTATTGGGCGTTTGATGTCTTAAAGAGAGAAAGTATGTTGTTATCAAGAGTGGTTTTCTATCAAAAGGTCTAGCGTTTCTTTTCTAAAGGTCGTAAATGTTTCATCGAGTCGTTTCAGCCACCCAATGACTGAAGTCAGCTCTCTGGAGAGAATCTTGTGAATTCTTGTGCTGTGAGGTAAATGAGAGATACTCTCACAGCACTTCCTCCAAGACTCTCTTTCTAATTTCCTTGTTGTATGTCGTTAGAGCTGTTTTATAAAGCTCCCAGTAACATGACTCTTTAGCTCGATTGAATAATCTTCAAACTTCATTCCCTAATTTTTCAAGGCTTCTGTTCCACCAAGAAAAGTTATGGTTGTCTCTTTTAATTCTCAGTGGACAATTTTCATGGCAGGATGAGATCACTGCTTCGCGAAATTGCTCCGCTACTGTCAATGTTTACTGATTATATTATCATTATAATTGAATAACGATTATTAGGATGTTTCGAAAGTTTTGTCCATATTTATGAGTCCACTTCAAACTGTAATATCTCAGTGATTATTAATTCAATTTTAACGGATTGAGCGTCACTTCAATCGGTGCACTTTTGCAAGCGTAAAACAAGTCGATCAATACCATCAGCATAAAAATTGTGTGCTCAGAATTCGATGAAGTCGCTGAAGACCGTTTTCGCCTGGTCCTGATTGGCGAAGGTGCCACCGGTGAGAAAGTAATCGAAGTGCTTGAAAAGATGAGAGGCAGTTGGCGAGAAGTCTGGGAAGTATGGTGGGTGAGGTAGAACGTCGACGCTCAATTCGTTTAATTTTCGGAAGTGTTTTAGCACTTCATTTCATCTTTCACACAACATATGTTCGAGACGAGTATACTGTATATCTATAGCTATCTATAGCTAATCAAATATACGTAGCCCGCAAAATTTGAGCACTCATCTTATTTTTTGAACGGTTCACGTATATTTGTATATATGATTTTCATTTTTGATAATGTTTGTTGTTGCACTAACCCCATCAACCAATATAATATTGACTCATCATATATATGTTTATCAAAGAGAAATAAGTACCTAATTATTCCTTTTTCAACATTTATTCTATTATTCCAGGTAACTTAATCAGCTTCTCGATTGGAACGTCTATGACCTGGACTTCTCCAGAAATAGACAAGCTCAAAAATGACACGTCTATCAACATGACAGATGAGGAAGGATCGTGGGTGTCCTCTCTTTTACAATTAGGAGCTGTATTCGGACCTGTGCTTTACGGATTTTTGGCAGATGCAGTAGGAAGAAGATATTCAGTGTTCTCTCTTGGCATACCTATCATAGTATGCAATCTATTGATGGCTTTCGTCAAATGCCTACCAGTTTTTTATATATCAAGATTCGTAATAGGTTTAACGGTGGGTGGAGTTTTTGCAGTGGTTCCGGTGTATCTTGCTGAAATAGGAGATGCCACAAATAGAGGGCTACTATCAAGTCTCTTGAACGTTTTTCTGTGCTGTGGAATGTTATTCACTTACGTCCTCGGTCCCTACGTCAGTATATTAGTCTTCAATCTGATATTAGCTATATTCCCAACCGCGTTCACCGTAGCTTTCTTTTTCCTAGCACCAGAAACTCCCACATACCTCTTCAAGTCTGGAAAATCTGAGATGGCCCGACAGATTCTACAGAAATTGCGAGGACCACGTGCCAATATAGACGAAGAATTATCAGCAATAGAACAAACTTTGAAGGAAGAAAGTAGTGGCAGTTTCCTGGATATATTCAGATCCAAGGGAACTTTGAAAGCGTTTTGTATGGCAGTCGGACTTGTCACGATCCAACAATTCACCGGTATCAATGCAGTCTTATCCTACGCACAAACAATATTCAAGTACGCAGGATCATCACTCGAACCAGAAATTAGTTCCATTATTTTAGGAGCAGTGCAGTTATTGTCAAGTTTCATTACTCCGACACTAGTGGACAGATTTGGAAGAAAGATTCTTTTGTTGGTTTCTGTTGCTGGACTAGTTATCGCAGAGGTACCTTTAGGAGTTTACGTCTACCTGAAAGTGCACGGGACAGACCTAGACTCCATATCATTTCTGCCGATTATCTGTATGATAGCTTTCATCCTTTTCTATACTTTCGGCATAGGCCCGTTGCCGTGGACTGTAGCCAGTGAGTTATTCCCGAATAACATCAAATCAAAAGCCGTCTCTCTCACATCTGTTATATGTTGGGTTTTGGCCTTTCTTATCGTGAAATTTTTCCAATCAGTGGCGGATAGTATTGGGATGGGCGTATCTTTTCTGATTTTGGCCGGAATCTGTGCAGTTTCGATAGCTTTTATACAATTCTTTGTTATCGAAACGGGTGGAAAAACCTTCGGGCAGATACAAAAAGAGCTCAATGGATAAGGGACTTAGTTTTAAGAATTATAGTAATTTGGGCAGGATTACTTGATCTGGATCTGACATATCCGAATAGATTCGTTACTCTAGAGAAGTTCAAGGTTCCAACACATAGATTTCTGAGATTCGGGCGAGTGATGGTGGAAAATTTCACTCACACAAGCAAGAAGAAAAACTACTGGTCCATAACTTAAAAGATTAAAGTTAGATTTTCGAAAAAGTCCTGTTAACCGTATTTGAACGATCGTGTATAGAAACTTCAAATACACCTGTGAGCTAAGTGATTGATAATAATAATGAGTCATGTTCCGAAGAAATATATATAGACACGATTGAGAAAAATACATTCATAAAATGATAAATAACAAAACACAGAAAGTCAAGTGATCAATGTACTTTATACTGAGTACATTAACCTCTCATTATTCTTGAGTGAATCGAGCACACTCATTTCCAGGTACCATTAAAAGTACAAAAACACATTACATATCGATATACTATATTAGTTGAAGAGGACATAATGGAATCGAACAAAATAATGAATCAAAATGATTCAATTCTCCATGCCCAATACATTTTTTATCGAAAATATGTTTTCATCTGTTTTTTGAAGCTACACACATGTTTTCAAATTTGGGAATTAAAAATTTGTTGAACTTCTAAACCATCTTTTAAAAATTTCTGTTCCATGGTCAGATCACAAAACTCATAACTGTGTCTTATGTCATAATTATGAGTTCTGTGGGATAGAGGTGTGATGGATTTGGATTCGTTGAGTACTTTGAATAGAAGCAGAAAGAAAGGGGAATTCAAAATAAACGATACTCTCCCTGGTGTTGATGTTGTGAACTAGTGACAAATACATTGGTTATTTTGGTAGTCATTAATGAGTGTTTATTTCTGTCGCTGTTATATTTATTTTTCTAGTGAATTGGTGAAGATTTTGTCGATTATCACTCTTTATCGATTTGATGAGCGATGCAGATTCAAGTCGAAACTATCAATAACTATACGCCCTGCAATAGACTTGTGGATAAAAAGACCTCGGTGCTGTGAGATAATTTTCATTGTTTTCCGCCAGTTATATCAAGTTATATTTGTGTTTTATATAATTTTTTTCTTTCTATTTATTTGTGAGTTAATAGGGATTATTGTAAATTTTATATATCCTGCAGATGGACAGTGTCATGGGTGATTTCACGAACTCAGATACTGTATATGGGATCTTGGAGTCCAACTTGATATAGCTCATATCATTCAGAGTTTTGAATAGGAATTTACGAGTTGAATGTTGGAAATTCTAGGTGATAACTGTAAATGGTTTAGTATCTATTGATATATACTTCTCATTCGGCATAATATATATAATCTCGTTTGAATAATGCAATATATAATTGTTAATGAAATAAAATCTAACCAGTAACCTAACCTAGCCAAAGCTAGTTTCAACTAATGAATTCGCAACATATGCTATCATTTTCTCAATCGCACCATTCGAACTAACTTAGGCAACGTTAATTAAGGTTGAAGTAAGATCTCTATACACTGGTATAGCGACTCAGGTGTAGAATTTTCATGCAAATCTGTCCCATAATATGGTTCACTCGATTTCATCTACGTGGGCTGTTTAAAAAAAGCTAGATACCGTTAACATCGTTGTCTGTGTGATGATACACTGTTATGTATTGTAATAAAAGTTCCCAGATTCCTTTGAATTACTTTTGTGAATCAATAACATCTGGAATAATCAACGATGTTTATGATAAGCACGTTTGCTTGTTTGTTAACTTTATGGTAAATATTTCATTTCAAGTGATAATACTACATTTATATGAATATTCTTTAGTGATATTGAATAATAATAGATTATTCATTAAATTGTTGTATTGTTAAACAAGAATAATAGACGAAATCATTTACATGGGTCTGCATTTGTTTGTTTTTCCACAATGCATTTTTTTGCATTGCTCTATTCCAAATCTGCGTCCGTCCTATCAAAAGTGTTTCGCTATCTCTGCTCCATCAACATACGTATGTCAAGCAAAGACAGCAAATTTGTTCTCAAATTGCTCTAGAATGCATAGTTTTTTTTTCAAGTCTATTGTTAGTTTCTTCATGATTCATGATAATTTTTCAAAGTTGACAGAATCACGTCATCAAACGTCAACTCATGAATGTTTTGCGGCAACCCAAGAAAAATTAATGTTGATGGAATCACACGTTAAAAGGTAAGACCTCGTTGGTCTTTAGCTCGCACAAGTTTCTCAACTTCTGAGAGTTGTCGTTCGTATGGGAGCGATAGCTGATTAACGAAAAAACATATTTTGAACATATTTTTTTTTACCAGAAACATCATTTATAAATAGAAATATTGACTATTGGCACCATCTTGCGGCAATTTCAGAATTGCCCCACTGAGTCTACAACAATTTCCGAAACAAAAACGCATCTCAGCATCCACCGGTGTGTTAAGAGACTAGTTTTTTCTTTTGGAAAGTTCATCATCCATATACGACATCTATCAGACATATTAGAACCAAGCCAAATGGTAAAGCAAAGTCCTGTACGCTGTTTTCATATATTGGTGTGGTGTTTCTTCCCGTGAGTGGAAGTAGTTCATTCCACCTATTCATCAGTTTCTCAAGCCAATAATGACTGCACTAAAAACATTATTCTTACGAATTCAGTTGAATAACTCGAATCGAAAATATATCAAAACAATAAACATAACTTCGTTTGAGCAACGCCATCATCGGTAGAAATTGTTACCAATAAATTTATTGAAAATATAACTTGCTGACATCTTTTCAGTGAGAGCAAATCGAGAGTAATATCGATTTTTTGCCCTTTCCCGCTTAAGTTTTTTCGAACAAATTTCAAAACAGAAAAAGAAGTTTTTTCAAAAACTATTACCCCACAAGAGAATGAGAGTTATTTTTGTGAAGGAAATAATATTGTGGTAGATGAAAATACCATGAAAACATTAATTTTGAACTTTCGTTTAATAATTGATTTCCATTTAGATGTGGATCTATCTATAGACATTTTTTTATTAGTTCGTGTATCCATTGGAATATCCTACTGGCAACGCTGCTTCCTTTCCCGCCCATGTCAAATTGTCATTTGTCGTTACCTTCATTTACAAGCTGTTTCTGAGCATCGCCATTTTCGTTTCATTTCATTTTCCGTTTGCGGTTCGTTTTGCGGTGTTTAAGGCTACGTGTGGGTGAGTTTATTTTAGATTTCTTGAAATATGTCTGTTTCGCACTTCTGTTTTTAAATAGTATTGCAAATCAAATACAAATAATGAGTCAGTAGATGAAAATATTACTTGTATGATTCCGTTATAACCTAGCTTTCTTGTCTTCTGGTGCAGGCTTGTGTTCCGTCTCGTTGCATGGGCTTTTTTTATTGTGACTAGATCGAACACTCGCCTGTAACGGGACGACTGCCTTCGATGTTTGGTGTTGCTTTCGATTGCTGGAGTTTGTTTGTGCTTGGGTTTGTCGTTTTTCTGCGTACGAATGTAAAAAAACGTCTGCCGGAAGAACAATGGAGCAACAGGTAACGGCTTTGTCGGATATATTGTTCTTTGGTGATCTAGTTGTATGAGTATTTTAAATTTCATAAAGCTGGTTCAGCAAAGCACAGTGCATTCGACTGTACTACGAGGGACGCACGAGAAGAAGCTTGTTACCGGCGTTGGTTTTCTGGGACCGCCAAGACGTGGGAATCTGGTTTGAAGGAACTCCTGGTGTGATATGTAGTTTCGAATCATATCACAGCCAGTAGTTACCTACGAAATGGATTCTCTTTTACAACTCTACTGCATCTTGGAGGAAGGTTGAATATTTTTTTGGTAAAAGTACTTATTGATGTTTGTGTAAACTCTTTTTTATTTTTTTACTTCTTCATCTCTTTAAGAAGTGGTGGCAAATTTTATTGACACTGGTAGTTGCACCTCTTTATCAGATTAGGGTCCAATAATTCTTTTGTTATTGCTAAAGTCGTTTACGATCAAATTCAAAGGGGTATATTTTTAAAAGAGTTAGGTTTTGGCTCAATAATTTTCCATCTTAATACAAGAAATGTGGAAACTTCCCAAAGAAAGAAAGCAATCTATTACAATTTTCCATTACATTAAATATTTTTGAAACGCCTACTTTCATATGAACATTGAATTATATAAATAACACTTTTTTTCTATTCAGTTTGTACTTACTAACATTCGCTATGAAATTGAATCGAATATCGTTCACAGGAAAGCTACACAATATAGTATATGAAGAAAGAATTGATGAAGGTGGTTATATTATTGCAGTACTATCGGATTTGAAACGAGCTTTTGAGTCAATCAATCGTGACGTTCTGATGACAAAAGTAGAAGCTTCTGGTATTCAAGGAAGTGTACTTCAGTGGTTCAAAAATTATCTAAGAAATTGTAAACACATAACTATAAAATCAACCAAAGTCTCTCAACATGTTGAAAATTCATTTGGCGTTCCGCCAGGTAGTGTCTTGGGACCATTATTGTTCTTGTTATATGTAAACGACATACATCTTTTCCATTCTTGTGACTTTATATACCTGTTTGCTGATGATACAGTGTTATCTATTTCAACTAGTATTTTGGATAGCGCTATTAACAAAATGAACAACTCACTAGCAACAATTTATTCCTATCTGAATCACAATAAACTTGAACTTGATATAAATAAAACTAAAGCAATGCTATTAACCACACCACATGAGGTAAAATATGTTAATATGGACCAATATATGCTTTCAATAAATTGTGAAGAAATTACATTTGTATACAAAATTGTGTATTTGGGTTTCTTTCGTTCAATGCCTATTTTTTTATTATAATAAGTTATTTACTTTATGTATTTATGGCAATGCCTGTTTTTTACAAAATAATTAACAAGTTCATACATATGTATTTAACAGTAATCTAAGGTATGTTTAAGGAAAAAATATATAAAATAAAATTTTTAATGTTTCCAAAGAAGAATTGAAAAATTCTAGATCTACATTGTATGTATTTGCAAGTCTCAAAATTCTACCTACAGATTCATTCCGGCCATAGTTGGTGCAACAAAAGGGTACTTTGAAGATTTCTGAATTTCTGGTTCTCCTTGGATTCACATTTAAAGTTATAAGTTCGACAAGTTCCAGTGAATTGATGCTACCATTGATTATTTAATGAATTAGTATAAGATCTGATTCTAATCTTCTATGAGCCAGAGTATTCAAGTTAAGAATGTCCAATATAAGTCATATTCATCAATATGATTACCCAGTTTATATGCAGAGTACCTTAAAACATTTTTTTGAACACTTTCGAACATATCAATATCCACATGATATGAAGGGCACCAAATTGTGGAATTGTATTCGATTATTGACCTAACAATTGAACAATATATGATTTTTATTGAAGTGAAGGATAATTCATTTGCAGAACTAAGAATGAAACCTACCATTTTTAGTGCTTTAGAAGTAATATTTGCAATATGGGGTTTAAATGACATTTTTGGGTCGAGAGTGATTTCTAAATCTCTGATAGTGTTTATTGTTTTCAGTTCTGATTGATTGATTTTATATGGCCGGCTAATGGGATTTTCGTTTTGGAAAAAAGTAAATTTTTGACATTTGTCTATATTTAATTGCAATAGATTTATACCACACCAGAGAAAAAAGTAGATAAATCGTTCTGTAATAATTCTGTATCAATTGAGTCATGAATAACTTTAAACATCTTCAGGTCATCAGCAAATAAAAGAAATTCACTATGAAGAATAACATCTTTCAAGTCATTGACAAATAAGTTGAAAAGCAATGGCCCTAAATGAGAACTCTGTGGTACACCCGATGAAACTGTGATTGAGGAAGATACTGAGTTACCATATTTTACAAATTGTACTCTGCAGTCTAGATCATTTTTAATCCATTTCAGAATGTTTTCTTGAATACCCAAAGCGTTTAGTTTATGCAACAACAAATTATGGTTTACTCGGTCAAATGCCTTTGAAAAATCTGTTTAAATAGAGTCTACCTGGTGTCTATTTTCGAAGGCATTTATTATCCAGTGTTGATAAATGAGCAGATTTGTGCTGGTAGATTTACCACTACTGAATCCATGTTGTTGACTAATAATTATATGTCTACAATCCCTAGTTGTAACTAGGCTGTCCAACAATTTGGGCAATTCTGATTGATTACAGACTGCTCGATAATTTTTTATGTGATCCACTTGTAAATAGATTTCAAAAAACTGTTTTTCCAAAAAATACATTTTTTGATTAGGAATAGCGGAATTCCATCAGGACCTGTAGACAATTTCCCAGGTAATAACATGACTAGATCGATTATTTCTTCAATATCAGTACTATAACTACATATATCAACCGTCTTACATATTTACAGGAAAATTTCGAAAAACGCATTTCTGCGTCTCATTTGAGCTATTTTTATATTCTCGGTTAATGGTTTATAATACAATTATTCAACCTCACTTTGATTCCTGTGGAAATATATTTCATTTCTTTGATGCTAACTAAATTTCAATTCTACAGAAATGTCAGAATCGAGGATTACCGATATACAACTATTATTTTCATGTTGGACTCATTAAAGTGGTTTTCAGTGTTACAGAGATTTTCCTCGACATCCATGATTTTCATTTTCAAGTCTTGAACAAGTTGATGCCAGAATATTTTAATGATTTTTTTGTCTTTAAATCTCAAATTCATATCATTCAAACAAGAGGAAATGCAGGACAACAATTTCACTTTCCAAAATACAATCTTACTATGGAATCATTATTTTATATGGGTTTGAAAGAATATAGTGAACTACATAATGACATAAAAGATGTGGAAACAATTAATAAATTTGAAACTAGTCTTGTTATGCATATAGGATCTAATTACTAATATTTGATCCAATATTATTATGTATCGATTTGTGTTTGCGGACCTTTGTACATGGTAATAATATCTTCTTTTGTTGTTTTTTTTTCAGTTGTATGTATGTTAGGATAAGTTTCCTATTCAATAAAGATTCATGAAAGATGAAATTTCACTCACATGGAATACAGTCATCCTCAATAGCGGACATCGATGGTTAGGAATAGGACATAGTCGATTTAGCTCATCCTTGACTCAAAGTCGTAATGTTATCATATTGGTGCTGAAGAGGCAATAAGAAGAGTGTCTCATTCCGAAACGTCGATGTCTGGAATTGGGGGTGTGAAATTTTATCTCTTCCATATACGTATATGTAAATGATATTCGTTGCAATTCCGTAACAACGTATGTTCAGAACAAACTGAATAGTAAGTCAGGTGTGCGCAGAGAAGTAGGAATAGAAGTTATATAAAGAAATTTACCTGCAAAATGAGACAGGTGTAAGTGTTATAAGTCATTTAGAAATTCCTCAACGCTGTAGTGTGTTTTGCACAGAACAAATACGTACTTTGGTAATAATTTCTAGGCACCTACAAATAAATATAGTTTCACTGTAGAACTTTGTTACTTTATTTCTTTTAAATACAACCCCACGGTACCATAATTTCATAATTGTTCGAAGCATTGGAAATATCTGTAATCAAGTTGAGAATATCTGAAGTACTTCCAAATGGGTTGCTTTATAACTGAGGTTGTATTTCTCCAACACATTGATTATAGATTGAGCATATTCTTTTGAAAATAATGTTTCTCTTCAATTTACAACTCGCCTTGATAGTTTCCCAAACCCTAGAATGTACTGAAGTTTATTTAATATCTACAGTTTTTTCTTCCTCATTATATTCACCAGTTTTTCATTTTTATGATTGTTTTTCTGCATATTTTAAAAGGGATATCAACATTTTTTATAACTCGACAAAAAGTGAAATTACCTTAACTTTGCAAAGTATTTGATACAATTAATTGCTTCCCTTAATAAAAACGGGGCTCACCTTACCCTCTGGAAATTTAAAAACATTGCACCAGTGATTTGTTTATTATTCAGGGGTTGATTCTAAGTCAATAAATTTTGGTATTTCACAATATGAAAGAGCAATTGAGCCATATAGACTATAAATGGCAATATTAATTTGCAAAAAGGGTGGTTATTTATGTGTTCATATATAGTTTTCTTGTAAACACACGATCCATCAACTGAAACCACAAATGTGAGGTTGGCTCCGTGCATTTGTATTTCTTTCTTTTGGTAACCTAATAATATAATATCGTTTAATGTCTTAAGAACTAACATCTTGTTGACAAACACTTTGTAACTCTAATGCGTGTTACCATACGATAGATGCAATATATGAAATAGGGAATAAGCTTTTTTCCATTGGCAGGTACTTATTAAACACTAAGTTACAATGTAAATAATACTAAGTTCAGATCATAGATGAGGGAGAGTGTTGCCCATCCTTACACTTGGCTGCACAATACTGATAATGGGCCAAAAGTTCGAAACACGTGTCTATGGTTTGCCACTTTGAGTGCTATGTCCAAATATTAACTTCTGTTTTCATATCAAGACACTCGATAACTTTCATATTTGTATATATATATACAGCAAAATGGATTAACAAAATCTCAGTCAAAAAATCAAAAATCAACTCTGCTTTACTTTGTCAAGCTTTCGCTTCTAATGGGAAGCTTCTTCAGGGCCTGTAATTTATTGAGTTGTTAGTTTTTTCGCCATTGAAAAACATTACAAATCATACTTACAGTTAAAATGGATTAAAAACAATAAATTGAACATATAAACTGACTGAGAAGGTTAAACATGTATAAGATTATTTTGGGTTTGACAAATGTCATACCTTCACATAAATGTCATTTTTCAATGGGTATGATGATTTCATAATCTTTGACTTTAGAGAAAGAGTTATTGGATACAATTTTCATTATTATTATGTTTTTGATATAGTTCCAGTAAGTTACTGTATATATTGCTGAGATTATCAACGTCAGTTTTCTTATTCAATGGCGAAAAAACTAACAACTCAATAAATTATAGGCCCTGAAGAAGCTTCCCATTAGAAGCGAAAGCTTGGCAAAATAAAGCTGAGTTGATTTTTTATTTTGTGACTGAGAGACCCTGTTAATCCATTTTGCTGTACATTTCTCCAATCGCTATGAGTATCCAGTTGATATATATCTACTGGTCACATATTTACTTTTTTTTGTATTCTATATATAGTGAACTAAGAAAATATATCAACTTTGAAGAAGAACAAACAATTTCACTTATTTTACTCTTACTCTGCTTTCTTATTGTCCCTGTTTGTATCGGGTACGACTTTTAGGATTTGAGAACGGAAAATTTCGAAAACAATGTAAGTTTTTAGCAACTACGAATGGTGAAAGCCTGAATTTCTATACCATTACATTCGAAATAACTATCTCCAGGAATAAAGTATCGTAAGTGCAAAAATATGTTGGACATTTTCAGAAAAGGGGAAAACAAAAGACAATTATTGAAGTGGATATAAAAAGGTATATTTTTAGGAGTGATGAATTTTTTGGGAAAGATTTTGGAAGATATTCACATTTTTTGTGTGAACTTGTTTATAGGCTGTATATTAAAAAAAAACAAACGATAACAATGTTTATTTCGAGAAAGAAAGCTTGGATTTTTTCATCTCTGTCTTCATACAAAAAATGTGGAAACCTAATTTTACAGTTAACAGTAAAAATACTCATATTTTTTACATATAAATGCATTAACATTTCGAAGACTATAAAAGTTGAAAAAAATATGTATGTCTAATGTCAGTGAGGATCTCCATAAGTTTTGAAGCTTGTTAGTGAGGTATACAGATGCAATTATGAAAAAAAATCTATATAAATAAGTGATTTAATTCCTAATGAGACCAATCGTCAGGAATTCTAGGTTTATTTAATTATAAAACAACAAAAATTGATTAGCGTTCCAGGGCGACTTCATTGATTCCAGTGGCGCATTTGCTTTTTCAGCTGCAGGATTCTTATAAAAATCAGTTTGGCAATACAGTCGATCATAACCTGTTAAAAGTTCATTTTCAGATGATTTAGCAATAAGCTTTGCACGGAATTAATTATCTTATTTTTTGTTTGCACTGTGGGAAATGGTGAACGTTCCTCAATTTAGGTTATTACAGCAAATTAAAGTTTGAACAAAATAAAGTTGAGTTCAATTCATGAGTTTTTCAAATTCAATTCGAAAAGTATTCAAATTGATGTTTCAAATGTTGTTTTAATTTTTAAAGGGATTTGTTTCTAAATGAATATTACTGGAGGTTTTTCCCAACACCAAATCGTTATTTTTACACCTCGACACGTGTTTCGATCACCAAGTGATCATCTTCAGGAGGATTTGTTTCTAATTCACATATTGGCAAGAGCGCCTAGAATGTTAGATCGGAGTTCAGGTTACTAGTATGCTAGAAGAAAAAGAATCATGTCAAATTAAGGCAAAATGTAAATTATAGTTCAATACCACCTCCACAAGCCACATAAACAACAGTTGTTTTGTTATTTATTTATATAGAAGAAGATAGGTTAGGTGCACAAAATGTCATATGTCACAGAATGTTTTGGAACTCTGAACATAAGTAAACGGAACAGCACGCCTCTGAAATATGTCATCTTTGTTTCATACAGGTAACAGATTCGTTGTCCTTTATTAGCTGTAACCGATGTTGCCAAATGGAGAAATAGAAACGAATCCCTTTAAAAGTTGAATGCATTATTTCATTCCTCTTTTTGAAGTATTTAAATAATTTTTAAAGAAAAAGGTTGAAATGGTAAGTTTAAAATGTGTTGTTTTAGAGCTCTTTTATGAAAACTACTTGATTTTCGTCAGGAGGAACATTCCCCATTAGAGAGTAAAAAAACAGAAAAGAAAATCAATTCTTCAGAAGAATACACTCAAAATAATATAAAATAGAAAATAACTTTCATTTCGGATAGTATTCTCGCTAAGAGTAAATTACTAGATATAAGGCAACTATATTTATACGGGGTGTCAGTTTGAGAATTTCCCACATTAATATCTTCCTACCAGTAAACAATATGAGGAATCAAAGGAACAGGTGAATTTTATTGTCAAGGGGAACACTTTCAAGGAATATTTGTCACTAGGGTGGTCCTAGAAAGTGTCCCCCTTGACAATAAAATTGTGCTGTTTTTCTATTCCTTATATTATTAATTTGAAGATATTAATGTGGGAAGTTTTTAAATTAGTAATTTACTTTCAGCGACAATACCATCCGAAGGGTGAGTGTATTTTTATTGTATATTCTGTTCTGTCTGTTTAAAATCTGTTTTTTCGTTAACCAGCTGTCGCACCCCTACGAACGGCAACCCTCAGAAGCCGAAACTTGTGCGAGCTAAGGATTAACGAGGTCTTACCTTTTTCCTAACACGGAAGTGTACTCTTTTAAAGAATTGAAAATTTCTTCTGATTTTTTTACTAAATTTTACAAGTGGATAGATATATTGATAGTTCATGCGACTATCTTTTGTAGATTGTCACCAGAATAATGAACTGAAAATTTCAGTAAGTCCCAAAGTTTTCAAAATCTATGAGTAATACAACAAGTGGTTTAGTCAGAATTTATTTCAACAAAGGTGTTTTCCAGCTCGGCACATTTTCAGGTCAGTTTGATGTATTGTCGTCAAAATTATATGGCGGATATAAAAGTTGCAGGCTTCTTAGTTTGTCCGGATCCAAAATTGAGCTGACCCGTTTCTTTATGACCTCCAGAGAATCCACCCTTTTAACAGGGATCCTTTTGGGTATGTCATACGTATCTTGATTCATGATAATGGAGGGTTCTCTGTGTACCTGCTCTATTTCATAACAATCGCAATCTTTGTTGCTGCAGTAACAAGTTTTCAACATTAACGAGATAGATTTTCCTAGTTTACGTGAACCACGTATATGAAGAGATGATGGTTTATGTTGAGCAACATAAGTCTCAGGCGAAAAACTATCTTTGTTCGCATCTGAAAAAAGTTTGGATCAAGGTAAAACTATATAAGGAACGAAGTAATTCTACTATAAAGAAATTTAACAATTGTGATTCACGCACAATATACGAGAAATATATTATTTGTGAAGTGACATGAAAAGGGTTTTTGTATTGAGTCGCACTTTATCTAAACTACTTCATAACTACGGGGGTGGTCTAAAAAGTTTACAACTTCAACATGAAGATGGCAGCACTCGTAAATAAAAGCTAGTGAATTTCATTGTTCATCTGTTGCCAGATACCCACAAAAGTTTCAGCCATTTTGGATGTGCAGGTGTGTAACAGTCGTTTCAGTGAGTTGATGTGTATATGATTAATTAATGTATATGAAACTTGGATACGCCTGCAACAAAAATACAGTCCAAACAGTGATCTGCAAGGCACTGTCGGGTTAAGCCAGCGCGGGGCCTGTAGCAAATTCTGTCAAGAGGTCCTTGGTTTGCTATAGGTTCTCAAGTTAAGGGTATCGAATAAAACAAAACTGTTACAAATAAACTTTTCTGGATTTAATATGGGTAAATTCAGAGATGACACTTTCATAAATCCACTTCTTTGTGCAAATCATATTCATCAAAGTTGTATGATTAGGAAGTTCTTGGCCCATTGTGTTTCAACTTGACGTTGAAAAAGAACGTTCGCCACTGCAGTTAGTGATCATGAGAGACAAGTAAATTCGAAAGGCGATTTCTGCGTTTGAGAAACATGATTATAAGGAATTATTTGATAAAAGTTTATAAAATTGCAGTTCCAGAAGCTTTGGTTTCTTGCTGTCAATAACAGTAGCCACATACATCTGTTTTTAGCAGTTCATCGAACTGCACTAATTCGTCGCCTAGGTTGCTCTCCAAATCGTCTTTGTAAGCACTGACCATACTTGTGGCGTTTTCCAAAGTCTCTTCTGTTGTAAGGGATTTCACCTGTCGAAATACTCCAAAACCACCAGAAACTTTATGATATGCTTCTATACGTTCAGATAAAGCATTTTGACTGAATAACAATTTTTACTGAGATTTACTTACCAGTTTCATTCGCGATAGAAGTTTCATCAGGAACACGGTTCTTAATCTGAATGGATGACTGTTCATTTTCCGTTTTGTCCAACGTTTTGGTTCTGCTGAGAGTTTTTTTGTAAATTTCCAAGGAACTTCGCCTTTTCTCGAGAGGAACAACTGTCCGTTTCGGGATAACCCACTCCGATGATGCTTCTGGTGTCCTCGACAAAATTTCTTTTCGAGAAGCGCAATCGCACGAGGTATTGCTGCAAGTGCACTGTAAAAAGAGGGACAGAGTCCTTTTGCGAGATATGGCATATCCGGAAGGATTATTATTGTTCATTAGCGCTCTCGTACTTTGGCTTCTGAATGAATCGACTAGAAGAAGAGATAAACTTACATAAGAAGAATATCCTATTAGTATCAACACTATGAATATGATTAAATCATTAATTTTCATATATACTCGTGAAAACATTTGAAGCAGAATATTTTATTAGGCACATTCTGAATACAAAGGTCAAAAATATACCAATAATCACCACTTAGCAAAGTATTTTCATAGCAGGAGTAGCAGGAACCGACTGCCCCTGCAGGAAAGCGCCCTCACTTGTGCACCTCCACGGAGGGAACCCCAAAAAGATTTAAGAAGCCGCGCAACGACAGTAATGTCGCCGCACCTTCCAAAACCTTCGCGGAGGCCGCCGTGAGACACCTGAAGGTTGCCAAAGAGAGTGTGTGTTCGGCGAGTCTTGGCCTACACCTACCGATATAAAGGAGATGTCTCCTAGTGACCTGTCCACCTTCCTAGAAAGGACAGGATGGACGATGACCTAGAAGGACAACTCCTCGGGAATAACATACTGGAACTTATTCTTCACTTTAACTTTTATATACCCCACATAATCACCAGTAGAAACTATTTTCTCAGATAAATACCTAGAGCATTTACTCAACTTTTATATACCTCAGGTATATATCCTGGAATGCCTGGATAGCTTCCCAAATTTCTGCTATCGCAGTTGTCGGTTGATTGGTCAAACCACCAACACTGATATAAATACTTGCAAAGTTGACCTGGATGTCACATCAATAGATGGGTTCCACTTATGTCTCGCTTGCGTTTCTACGCAGTTATTTTCATCAAGTACTTTCTTGGTTATTCATATTTTGTACTGACGATGCCCAACAGACTGAAACACCTGTCTACCGGTGGCTCTTGAATTGAAATCAAAATGGGAATGATCAGAATAGTACTTATCTATTTATCTTTTTATTTTCATGGAATTATTTTCCAGCTGCTTGACTGCATTAACCTTTATATGTATCTAATTATTCCGAACGACTCGCCAGCATTATGCCTAAGGTAAGATGATACTTAGATATTTCTCCAAATGTAAATATTGTTGTAGATCATCCCCTGAAAAAGAATAACACCGGCCGCCGCTGGCCGTTGTGAATTAATTGTGACGTGGCGCGACTTGCGCTTCGCGACTGTTTTAGTTTTGGCGTCGCTTCCATAGACTTCTAGCGAATTCCTTATAGGCTTCAAATTACTTCGATTACCATATATAAATGCTACACACACCACACAATCGAAAGTCAAGTCAAATTACAGTGCAGAGTGAATTCAAATAAGACGATGTACATTTGAATATTAGCTTTAATTAAAGTATTTGGTTGTATCAACACCGAAATAAAGTTAAGTTTAATTATAGTACAGTGTAGACAATTATTGTCAAAACCACGGGGAAAACGTCAAAATATTATATCTATTTCAAACACATTCTCAGTCTTATTGATTGGAATTCTTACCTTGAATACCTTCCTTATTTGCACACTGTTCGGGCTTTTTTTCCAATAGAGGTTCCGTACACTTTGAAACAGAATTATTACGTTGTCCCAATGCACCTACTGGTAGACAATAATAACCAATTAATTGTCATATAATTATCAGTTTGTGTGAATTGAATGTTAGTGCTGAAAGTGAGTATTACCTTCATTTTTTTTCGGAACTGCATTTCTGTAGGTATTTATTGCCCCTGTTGAAAAAAAACATGATATTGTTAATATCTTTCAAATTGAACTAGTAGCTTTTTTCAAACTCGTCAAAATTGAAGGAAGAAAGAACAATTGAGAGTCGTTGCCATGTGTCTTCTTCTACTTTCTCTGCAGCTTCCAGTGCGAAGCAACTAATTTGCTTGAATCAAATAACATTTTATTGTTTAAAATATTTCATCGTGATAATGGATTTTTTTTGTTTATTGTTTGCTTATAAACACTAGTTTCTTAGGATCAATAAATGTCCCTTTGTAGTGATCTATGTAAATACTAATTGTGTCTACTAATACTGTTAAGTTTTCTTTAAGAAACTGTCCAAAGTATGCCAATTTATTATCTTTCAATTTATCAAAGACTAATATAATGTCCTTTAAATGTAACCTGGATCATATAATTCTTGAAGAACACATCATTGATCATAAACTAGAGAACAAATTTTTAGGTCTCAACATAGACTTCAAATTTGGAACGCATATTAGTATACTATGCAAAAAATTATCCCCAAGTTGTTGCGATAAGGTCTATCTCTAACTCTTTGGGCTATCACTCTGCTAGAAAAGCATACTATGCACTTTTTCGAAACCCACTTTCTGTACGGAGTTTGTTTCTGGGGGAGCAGCTGTCAAAACTTAATTGAGTCAAGTTTTCACAATTCAAAAAAGAGCAGTGAGATTCATTACCAGAGCTGAGTCCAAGATTCCTGTGAGCCCCTCTTTCAAATTATCTCATCTTAACAGTCTCTATTTTAGAAACAGTCTGCCTAATGCACAAAGATAACATCTCGAACTGAACTCGAAGTTATGCCACTCGTCTCACATTCAATATTCCTCTTCCTATTACGTCAACAGCAAAAATTCAAAACTCGATTCTTTATAATAGCAAAAAATATTTCAATCATGTCCCTTTCAATCAGAAAGTTAACCTGCTACAAACAGTTTCGAAAAAGAGTAAAAAAACTTCTGCTAGATAATAGTATATTATGCAACGATCATGTAGGTAATGATGGTTATTAAGACACGAGCATTAACCGGGATACGAAACGAGCCGAAGACGACTTTTGTATGGTATATGCGAGTGTATTAATAACCATTACATGAGAGTTGCATACGCTATTTTTTCTAAACCCGATAAATAATGAAAAACTATAAATATTATATTTGTATTGAACACATTTACAGTAATTAACTCATATTTAAAAAAAACACAAACTTAATGGTATTATCATGGATATATGAAAACTATAAAGATTCTAATTATATTTATATTGAATATAACAACTGTAATTAATCTGATCTTTTAAAAATATTGGTATTCCTTCTATATCGCTGTTTTCAGACATTTTGATAATATAGGTAGGTAATATGAAAACTGATTTTGACAAATAAAGCAATTAGTTACTTAGGTTAGAATCTAGGACAAACAAAGGAACAGGATTCTTGATTGAAAAATTATGGGTTTCTATTGGTTGATAAATAATCTGTATCATTATGAAAAATCTGTATCATAATGGATATCATTATGAAACGGATTATGGTCATATAAGTGTATTGTTAGAGTACGGGTGTAGAAAAAGCTTATTATAGTATTGAGGAATTTCTTTCGGGTGCCTTCGCAACTTATAATTGCAACTTTTAATTCTTGACTGTTATCATTTCTGACTGACTATCAGCCTCTGACTATCAGCCAATGGACTGCTCTGACTATCAACCAATGGACTGCTCTGAATGATTTCTCATCTCTAATAATAACAAAGCAGCACAATTGATTTGGAACATCTTTTACATTCAAGATTTTGATGTGTATAAGGTTTAATTAGCCATCAATAATATTCGCGTTTTAAACTCCACGAAAATATATCATTTAATTGATTTATATAATAACAAATTGTTTCAATATATTCACAGGATTCGTACATTAATTTATATTTTATTATTCATCAAATAGCTTCCCTCTACAAGCAATCCTTGAAATGATTCAACTTCTTATTCATTAGGTAAGATATGTTCAATATGTATTACAATTATTTGTTGAAAATTAAATTATATGACTTTCATGACTTTATTGAAGCATACATTGAATTATATAAATAAAAAATATAAAGGTCAATTAATTCTATTTCCTTAGCAGATTCCCAAAATCAGCTGGGTATTCGGTTCAGAATGTTTTTCATCTAAAACAAAAACGGTACATTAAAAGGCTGAAAAACATGATAGATCTGACAGATTTTTGATGAAAATCCATTATAAAGTATTCAAAAAACACACTTCAATGTGAGATTTCCACTAGAAAGTTCACAAAACCGCGACACGTGTTTCGCCATACAATTATAGCTGTCATACAATTTTTCGATACCATTTTCATAGTACGTCTTCAGCCTCAGAATAGGACTCAGCTCCGATGATTACGTCTTCATCGGCGCTGTTTTTTTTTTCAGAAAGCATTCCTTGAGGTCTGAGATCAGAAAAAAGTCGTTGGGGGCCAGATGTGGAGAATGCGGCGGATGGGGAAGCAATTCGAAACCCAATTCATGCAATTTTGCCAACGTTTTCATTGATTTGTGACACGGTACATTGTCTTGATGAAACGGCACTTTCCTTTTCTTCGTACGGGGCCCTTTTTCCGCAAGTTCGTTCTTCAAACGCTCCAATAACGTTATGTAATAGTTGCTGTTGATGGTTTTTCCTTTTTCAAGATGGTCGATGAATATTATACTAATATGCGCATCCCAAAATATTGATACCATAACCTTTCCAGCGGACTGTTGCGTCTTTGCATGCTTTGGATACCTATCGCGGTATTATAAACATTCAAGTGGAAATCTACCGTTAGTGTTTTTTTTTTAATCGGGTGAAAAACTTTTCATCATTATTGATGAATAAATATTATGTAGACTGAAGATTCTGTTCGTGCAATTTGTTTTTAACTTGGTTTAGGTACAGAGGTAGTGTTACGGCTAAATCAGAGAATTGCTTGTCGAGTGGATAGAGCAAATTCGATAAAGCAAAGCAATATCTGAAGTGACAGAAAAATATATTGAGTTTTGAATATTCTACGAAACCGTTACGGAATCCTCATTCAGAAATTTACCAGCCGGAAGCAATGATATAGCTTATCACAGGGATATGTGTCTGGAAGAGAGTCTATACGTTGGCCTGTCCACAGCATTAATTCTACAATCTAATATTTATGTGTTTATTAAAGTTAGATTGAAATTTATCTAGTCGAGGTAAGAAATAGTTTTCTTTATAGATACCACCTACCCAATGAGAGGTTTGATTTATTTTTCTCAATTGCTATTACAGCGGGGTTAATGTTGCAACGACACCCTTCATTTTTACAGTTGCAAACATTTTTAACAGCATTGCTCCTCCATTTGCTGTAGTCGCCATTTTTCTTTTTTTCTGCGATGACATCCTTGTATACGTAAGTCTTTGTGTCAGGAACACGGTTCTTTGAAGCCCTCTCTTCAATGGAATCAGGCGCTTCGCCTGCTTTTGATTTATCGAAAATACTTTTCACATTTTCTGAAGTTTCGCGTTTTGAGTATTGACTCTTTTGGGTTTCGTGTCTTTTTGTCACGGTGGATGTACCTATAATCGAACTATCCGTGGAACTAGTACTTCTTTCATCTATTTTTCTAGAAGTTTCTAGGAAAATATTCGAATCAAATCAAATGACTTGTTATTTGGTTGGATTCAACTCACTTATTTGTTTCTTGGTAGATACAGGCTTCCAGTTATTCAATTCCTTGATATCCTTTTTAATCGCTCGCTCATCCACTTCTTGTACATATTGCTCAGCTGGAGATGTTATAGAATCGCACATCTTACATCGTGTCTTGTGGGTCAACTGTAAAGTTATAATTTACACAAATACAGTATACGGGCTATTTTCTAAAATGATCGCTAAATGAATACAGATAATTCATTATTATTTTTTTTATAACCAAGTCAAGCTGCTGGAAAATAATTCCATAAAAAATAAAGGGATAAATAGATAAGTACCCGTGCCCGTGGCTTGGGCCACCTATCGGGCGCGTCCCCAGGTGGTGGATAGGAAAACGACCAGGGGCCCTGTCCAGGAAACTAATGTAGTCTTACGGATGGGGTCGCCGGACTCCTGGTCAGTGGCAGAAATAAGTATGGTGAGGGGAACTAAAACTCTCCAAAAGCCTTTGCAAAACATGGCACCGTGAACCAGCCTACCCAAGCTAAGGTGTAAGGAATCGTGCCTACAGCTGAATGGCCGCAGGGTGATTTGCGGTTACGATCGATCCCCTTGGGGGAACTGGGCGAAACCTCTTTGTAATCAGCCTACCTCTGGTAATGCGGGGCTCTGTCTGAGGTGACTAACTCTTCCCTTGCTACTCGTGGGAACACACATGAATGAAACAACAGAAACAACAAAAACCAATCCCGAAGCTGGACAGAAGTGCTCACCTCAATCTAAGGCGGTGGCTGGAGATGAACAGAAATGTCCACCCCAATCTACCGCTTGAGGCTGGACATAGCAGATTACCTCCAACAGCAAGGGCACTTCCTTCGACGTGCGCCATGAGCTTCGCCTTGAATACAGGCAAGGCACCGGCTGCCCCTGCAGGAAAGCTCCCTTACTTGTCCACCTCCACGGAGGGAACCCCAAGAAGGTTTAAGAAGCCGCGCAACGACAGTAATATCGCTGCACCATCCAAAACCTTCGCGGAGGCCACCGTGAGACACCTCAAGGTTGCCAAAAGGAGTGTATGTTCGGCGAGTCTTGGCCTATACCTGCCTTCCTGGAAAGGACAGGATGGACGATGACCTAGGAGGACAACTCCTCGGGAGGATGTACAATGGGTCACATGTGGCCTAAGATTTCACAGATACCAGATTTCAGAATTCATTTCAGAATGATAATCCCTTGATGTTGTGCCTGATTTAAATATAAGCCGACAAATAGGAATAAAACCCATGTCACTCCCTGCATGGACAATAATGACTTTTGGTCCCTTCGCAATATTTTTAAATAACCCTATGGTTAATTCATCCGTCCAGTTCTTGGAAGAAACACAATTGGTCGTTGTTGGCTACGAAAATAATTGATTTTTTGTAAATACTTGACCCTCAATGCTCTAATGTCCATTTTCTGCATTAAAATTTTTCTATTACTTTCAGTCCTCCATTTGAAACCTATTTTCTACGAAGACATGTTTGGGAAGCCACAATTCCCAAAACGCCATTAATTTTATGTTGGAACACACCCTGAAAGTAGTAAATAATCCGTCTAATATTGGAATACTTATACTGGGGAATATCAGTTACTGGTGCTCTTCTAGGCCGCTTCTTTCTTGGGGTGGAAAATTTTACATCTCCGTTATTTGCAGAAAGTATAGTTGCACCCCTTCTTTAACCACTCTTTCAATGGTTCTAATTGAAACACCTAATACAAAATGAAGACTTTGCACTCCTTTATATTCGATTAAAAATGTGAAAAAACATTTTCCTAGAACATTCATGTAATCAAAATAATTTACCAAGTACGAATTTTTTGTTAACAAAACTTTGAAACTTTATTAATCGATTTGTACACTTATTAGGACGTCTAGTTTTTCTGTATTTGTAAAGTGAGAGTAATTCCGAAATAACTGAAATATCATATAGAAGAATAATTCATACTTCCTCCCAAAAAAAGTATATTATGTAAGTGAGTTTCATAATTCGACTTGGACTATTGATTTCATTACCTTACCTCAACTTCATTCAGTTTCTTTTTTTGAATCTCTCTCAGCGCTGATAACCACATATTCCTGTATTCTTCGTGTATTTTTGCGGAAACATCTTCATTGTTATCGTTGCTTTCGTTCACTTCCTCTTCTTCTGATTTTTCTTCTTGGGAAGTTATAGAGGATCGATTCTTCGTATTCTCAATGATTGTGCATTTTATTGGGCTCAGGTTTTTTTCCATGACACTTTTCCAAAAAGCGATACATTTTTCTGTGTCCTCGTCGTTCGGACTCTGTTCAAATGTAAATGCCTATAATACGTCAAACAACAGCCACAAATACTTTAACATCGAAATAAATTATTCAAGGTGGTTGAATAACAATCAATCAATTGAATAACATGAATTTTGGACACAAAAATTGCCTTTTTACAAAAAGTAGGAAGAAATTTCTTTTTGCGAACTATTTTATAATTTTTCAAAATTATCTCAGTTAAGATTTATAGATTCTATACTGTACTTGATATCCCAAAACCATTATTTTGAAAGGCCAACAGCATCAATTTGATTAATTCAAAATGCTTGTTTTATTTAAATCGAAATGTTATTGTGAAAAAGTGAAAATTAAAAAAAAAAATCTGATTAACGAAATTGTCACAACAATTTTAAAATCGTCAGTTCAACTAATTTAAAGCATTCAATCGAAATTATTGATGATTGTCTCATTTGAAAAAAAGAATGTTGAGGAATATCGTCCCATCAATATAGTATGAGAACAATAATTAGAAATGAAATAGCAACAGGTTAACTACTGAAAAAAAATTAACTACATACCTATCTGAATTTCAAACAAAATCCTTGTTTGAGGATGGAGTGACATTTTGTTGTTCGCTCCAACTTAGGAAGAGGAATGAAATGCTCTGAAAGAATTCCGATTTTCAATTAAGGAATATCATTGACTTTAGGTCGATGATGGCCACTATCTTGCACTGATGAGTGGCTAATGAGGCCGAAACCGGTCTGCAAGTGTGCCCGTTCGAAAATTGAAGGTCGACTTTTTCAGTTGTATTGCCAATTGCATATGCAAGAAATTTTTTGTGAAGATTCTTGCACTGACGCCTGTCGGATATAATCCAACGCCGTTCGTGGTATTAGCCAGAGGAGTAGTTGTTTTCTGATAGGCGTCAGTCCATTGAACCTACTGTATAGGTATATTCGAGACTGGCTTGAATGTTTAAAGTTCATTTCTTTAGATTTACAAAATCCTTGTGAGAATGTTATTCTTTGACTAACCAAATAAATTAAATAGTGTAAAGTCATTGGTGTTCCGTTTTTAAAAAGAGTTTTTAAAACCACTGATACAAATCTGTTGATACACATGTTATTTCTTGATTGGAAGTTATCAAATTTATTAATACCGTATCATCCCCTTAAGACCATGTGTTTGGCATTCCTCGGGGAACAGTATTAGGTCCGGATGATTATTCGATCACTTGATATTGCCTACAATATAATACAGAAAAAATCAAAATCGATTCATTTGGAAAAATCAGTACAAATATTTTCTACAAAACAAAGCTGTGTATGTGGTTCGTCTATATTTGGTTTCATTAACTTAGACTCTGCTATATCAAAAGAAATAAAAATCGATTTCATTCTGCATATATTATACACTATTGAACAACTTTGAAAGAATCAAAGAATTGATAATATTAACCTACCTTGAACAAAGACTCTCCTGAGTTAATCGTATCTGTGTGACCATCGCTTTCCAGACTGGGCCTGCTTTCTGAATCAACCTTTTTCTGAGACTGTTTGTGAAACATATTAATGTTTTCAGGTTTAGCGTAACAAATAACATCTCCTTTACGGTAACATTTCCTACGAATCTGATCTCCACTTTTCCTTGCATTATCAGTCAAATCCTCTATGGAAGAAGCCAAATTTTCCAGGTCCATTTGAATTCCCTACAGATTTCTTCAGGAACAATGGAATTTCTGTGAGTTCTCAATGCGAGAGTAGATGTAGCAATATTCTCAAAGTGCTCAAGACAATAAACCGGAGTTTTATAGTAACACTTTCCTAGAATTTGCGACAAATAGTAGCTCTAAGCACGGAAAACACCGTTTAAAAAATTGTTCGGGAATCAGATTGTGTAAAGCGTCAAGTATATGACACTGACAGATGCTTTCACACTCATCAGCACTGATGAGTGTTGTGATTAGCCAACTAGTAGCCCAGATAAAAAGAAACATTCCAGTTTGCAATAATTCCCAACAAGCTGGATTGTTGTATATACTTTAAATATGTTATTATTACCCGAATGTCAAACGTCCCTGTCGATTCCACTTGTGCTTTGTTTTTGTATTCGGTGGCAAACGTCACACATTTTCGTTTTTTGGCGAATATCTCTTGAATAGTTAGGTTAGGTTCAAAGTTAGTGGGTCTATTCGACAAATCATGAAACTGTGATACAACAAAAATTAACTGATTCCAATGGCACATTTGCTTTTTCAGCTACATGAAAACCCGGAAAAACCTGCAGCACCACATCGTCTGAGGATCTTGGTCTGCCAATGTCCTCTCTTTCATAAAACAAAATGTAGGGTGTGTCCAGAGGCATAAAACTGTTTTATTGTATAGCGAAACACGTGTCGCGGCTTTTGTAAAATCCTTTATAGTGAAAATCATACAATAAACTATATTAATTAGTTTTTTCATATGGATTTCCATCAATTATTGGCCAGTTCTATTCAATTGATAAGGTAAACTTTGACTTTCTTCAAAAATATTCATTTTATCATCAATTCCTATTTTGTTCCCGTCAAAGTAGTCCTCTTCAGTCCCCAATCCTCTAAGCAGTTCTTCCGATATGCACTCTTTGGTATTTCCTTGAACTCTCTCAGCAATTCGGTTTCTACCTCCTTAATCGTCCCAATACGCCGTCCTTTCACAGGCCTCTTCAATCTTGATAACAGGAATAAGTCGCAGAGGGCCAAATCTGGTGAATACGGTGGCTGAAGCATGATAACGGTGTTGTTTTTGGCCAAAAAAACACGAACAAGCAACAAGGAGTGAGCAGGTGAATTATCGTGATGCCAAAAGCCATGAATTGTTTTCCCATAATACCAGAAGTTTTCTTCATATTGCTTCTCGCAAGCATAACTTCAAGACAATACTCCTCATTGATCGTATGACCATGTGGCAAGATTTCCTGATGAACTAAGCCACGGTAATTGAAGGAAACAGTGAGCAAAACCTTGACATTTGATGGAACTTGGTGTACTTTTTTGGTCTTGGCTTTCCTGGACTCTACCATCGGGTAAATTGGAGTTTGGTTTCGATATCATAACCATATACCCATGATTCGTCTCCAGTAACGACCCTATTGAGCAGATCTGGATGCTCATGCGATGTTTTTTTTGGTTAAAATTTAGCAATTTTGGAACGAACTTTGCTACCACACGCTTCATGCCCAAAATTTCCGAAAAAATTGCATGGCATTAGCCAACCGATATGACGATATCCTCAGCAACTTCTCTAATAGTGAATCGACGATTCTCCATAGTAATTTTCTTCATATTTTCTACATTTCCCCGTACTTCCAATTTTTTTCATTGTAGAAAACATAATAATGATAATAATAACAAATAATAGAAAATGAAATACTTCAATTGCTACCAACATTTTAATTTTGTTGTAAATTTTGTTACAAATAGGCAGTCAATAAGTCCTCTCCTAATTGCTAAGAAATTCATTAGGAAAGAACTTCATCTCTGATCAGATTTCTCAGTTAACAATAAATTTTTGAAGATTTATTTGCCAATATTTCTCAACGGCCTGAAAATAAACAAAAAAAAATTCCAACAAAAACAAAATAAAAAATTCATTGTTGGATTATGATAATGTGTTTTCTCAATCTGTTATCATCGATATCAGAAAGAAAAATATTGACTTAATTGAACATTTGCTTCATAATGTACCTATATTAAAATTTTCAATCAACTATTGGAACTATAAATTATTTGTTTCTAAATACCAAGAGGATCTTCATGCAGACCAATTATAAATATGAAAACAAAGGAAGTTGATGAACTGACCCAAAGAATATTCACCAGGTAATAATAATGTATGCAAACTTTCACGGTCAGAAATAATTGATTGTATTTTCTGAGGTTGTTGACAGTGGCTTCATGACGTTTCATCTACAACTGTGGTAAATGTCAAAAGCGTTGAGGCGAAAAACGCAGTGTTCTATTGGAATAAACACTCGTGCAATATTATGTGACTTGTTTAAAACCTTCGACGATGTCTTCCTTGATATTCTACTAGTAAAACTTCAGAAATATGGATTTCGCAATATCCAGCTCTCATCCTCGTTCAAACTTTCTTGAAAGAACAATATTGAATCCTAGAAGAGAATAAATAAGCACGGAGTCCCACTAGGATCAGTGCTGGGACCACTATTTTCCATAATATACAAGTATACAACTTTCTTAACAAGTAATGAAAATTTCAATAAGATTACGATAAATACTGGCAGAAATGAAGAAGTATTTCTATTCGAATAATTTATGTAAAAACGAAACCAAATGTATCAGTTTCACTAAAAATTGGAAGGTCGCAGCGGATATGATCAATGTAAAATCGCTTGAAAGTCGCTTGGACTGATATTATCAAAAAGTAACTTCGTTCTGAGAAATTTCAGGGAGATGGTATTCCTGGAGATACTAAAACATTGCACTATGGAGCCATCATTTGCCATTTGAGATATAGTGTTCTGCTTCGTGGGATGATTCTAGATAGACATTTATAAGTAAGGCAAAGAAAATCATTTTGACTATTGCCAAATAGAAATGGAGATTCTCTCACTTCCCTACATTCACATTCCGGAAGCTATTTCATGGGTTCACGAAAATAAAGACAAATGCATTAAGGGTTATCTAATTTTCGACCACAACACTGGTATCAGTGGTCTTTCTTGTTATTGTGCCAAAGAAACAAAAACAAACTGACTTTTTGCCAAGAAAAAATCATAACCATATACCTGAAGATTGGAAATGCTACAGTATGAATAAGTTGAAACAGAAAGTTAGGAAAAGCTTTTTATCCAATTGATGTGCATTATCCTTCTTGGATCATATTGCTACCTCGATTTCAGCTTATTCTACTTGATTCCACCGAAGACATTCTTCAAATATGGTCCCACAGATGTGTTGAGACGTCTTTACCAACATTTTGATTACTACTCTTTTTTGTCTACCTGGAGTTTTTATTCAACTATTGAGCTGTATTTGTCAGTTTGAAAATTTATAAACATATAAACTTTAACCAAAAGAAAGAGGAAATTAACACGAACAAGCCTGGTTGCCTGCCCTTTACACATGGGTCAGGCCTATCAACTAAACCAATAGGAATGAAGCAACATCCATCACTGACGGGATAAAGCGAGAATCTGAACCCAAGCAATTTAGCATGTGTTTAGAGGACTACAACCAAAGCCTCAGCATTCGTCTTCCGCAAACCAGCTGACCATGTCAACAAACCCAGAAAGCAACGAATTCAATTCAAAACTCTGCTGAGAACGAAAAATGTCTCGAAATGCTCCTAGTATCCAGATTTTAAATGCGTGAATTCAAACAAGAGAGAGTCGTTCTTATAGTAACTGTAAAAATAACATATTTAGACATATATTTAGGTTAAAATGTGTAAAAATAAAAGTTTATTCTTAAATCTACGCTGATGGCATCACTTTAAGGCGTTCGAAGGCTGCTTTCTCCAAAGTTTCCCGATGATCCGGGTGAGCAATATTAATCAAGGCGTGAGCTCTTTGTCTGAGCGACTTGCCAAAGAGGTAAGCAATACCATATTCAGTAACGACATAATGGGCGTGAGCTCTTGTTGTAACCACTCCAGCACCTGGAAACAATAGTATTTTCCCTCATTGTGTTATATACACATACCTGGTTTAAAATCATACCTGGTTTAAGTATTGGGGTTATCTTGGATTGTCCCTTATTTGTGGAAGAAGGTAAGGCAATTATGGGCTTCCCTTTTCCATCAAGTCCTTCAGCAGCACCTCTGATGAAGTCGACTTGTCCTCCGAAACCAGAGTACATTCTTGTACCGATAGAATCGGATGATATCTGCCCCGTTATATCCACTTCTATACACGAGTTTATTGCTGTCATTTGGGGTTGTCTGGCGATGATACCTATTAATATGACATGATTGTACATTTTTTGTGAATTATTATGAAAGTCAAATAGAAATATGAAATGCTTTCAAAATTATGTTCTTGTCTCACATAAATGAACGAGATTATACGAGAGTGGCATCTCACAGTTACAAACTGAACTAAATTGTCGGTAAAACAGGATAAATATTCATAAATTTGAAAAAATTGACACAAATCTCTCGAACAGAAGTATGTGCACACTTATTATTACTTACACTTTGAACTATTTTTCATGGACCTCATGATGAAATAGTAGAGAAGTATAACTTCACTACTTTTTAGAAAAAAATTGTTTTTCTCTTTAAACTTTTAAGAAAAATTCGTTCGAAATAAAATCATATACAGGGTGTCCCACATAAAACTCCGCGGGCTAATATCTGAAAAATGAGAGAGGATATCCATATTTCGTGAAAGCAGATGGAAATCTAGTGGAGTAATATCAGGACTTCGAGCTGGCCATGGTATTGGACCCTCATTTTCAATCCATTTCTCATTAAAAGTATCATCCAAATATTGGGTAACTATTCTATTATTATGTGGAGGTGCCCCATCTTGTTGAAACCACATATTCAGTCGAGTTTGTATTGGTTAATTCTCCAAGAGTTTCGGCAACACATGTTCTAGAAAAACCAAGTACCTCTACCTATTGAGAATTCCTTCGAAAAAATGAAGTCCTATCAAACAACCATCAATGATTCGGCACCAAACATCAACCCCCCACACAGACTGAAATCTGGTTTCTTGCACCCAATGAGGGTTCACGTCACACCAATAGTGACAATTATGTTTGTTTATTATATCGTTATTATGGAAACGGCGTTCATCACTCCATATTATTTTTTTTTCAGAAACTGATCATCATCATGAATACGGGTGGAGAACCATGCAATTAAGTTCAATCTTCTATCAGCATCTCCTGAATATGGGAATATATTTTAGTTATTAAAAATGAAACATGAAGATTATTACCTGGATGTAGTCCTTGAAATGTTACAATGCATTGCTACTTGCATGCTCATTTTCATTTTTTAGATATTTACTCGCGGGGTTATATTTGGGACACCCTGTGTATATATTTGACCAACAAAAGATGTAGATACAAAAATATACCATCACTTACCAGTGTTGTTCACATAATCAACAACCAGCATCTCAACGAACGGGTTGTTATCTACGAAATCGTATAATTCTTGTGTCCCGATCAAGAATGAGCCTACCATTCGGCCCTTGTGTATTGTTTTCCGGTTGTTGGTAATACACCCTCTGTTGACCAAGTCAATCACGCCACCAGCAAACATTTCCGAATGGATTCCCAAATCTTTGTGATTAGTCAAGGCCGCCAAAACGGCGTCTGGAATGCTGCCGATACCTACAAAAATAAAATGAGTATTCCACCTCTGACACCAATTTCAAAATGCCATACAACTAGTCAAAAAGGACTTAAAGTGGGTCTTGTGCAGTCTTGAATAAGTATTCGATGAGATACTACAGTTTAAAGTGGACTCATAAAAACGTACAAAACTTTGAAACAACCTGATACATTCCCTATAGTAATATTTACATCTACAAAAAGGCTTCTTGTGATATGATATGGTAAAACAGAAATAACTCAAGTAACATAAAAACAAAGACTTTCTAACGTTTGTTTGACAGTGGTTGACGATGTTTCATTGTGAATTTTACTGGTTCGCACTTCCATTGTCTAATATGATTTTAATATGATTCGAAATCTATGAAAGAATAAATATAATTGTGATGAATAGCTGAAATATCAATTATATTAGGCAATAAAACGTGAAATGAAAATACAATAAAACAGGTAAAATAATCAAGATAAAAGATGGAAATAACCACAGAGTAAAAAGAAATAAAAAATAAGGAACGAATTTAAAAAAGATTTCAAACCAAGTTACTTCACGCCATTTCAATTACACACATCGGAAAAGTCTAGGGATATTTTTATAACATATTAAATATCATAAAAATAAATGCATGAGGTCGTTTAATTTCGATTAAATTGGTACACTCGACCACCCTGTAGATTTCTATGGGTTGAACAAAGCCTGCAAAAACGGTAACTAATCTTTTATCAAGTTTTTACAAACTGTAGGTTTTCAGCAATTAAACTGGAAATATTGTGTTTTGACATGGAACGCCATCACTTACCATTGGCTGAGATGAATAGAGCTGTAGGGCTTCTTCAAGGTGGCATGCGACAAAATGATGTAGCTCTTCGTTTGGGGGGTCTCCCAAAGTGTTATCAGTCGATTGTGGCGGCGTTTCCGTGAAACTGGCAGTCCAGCCGAACAACATCCAGGGCGAGGACGCGCTACAACTGCAGTTCAAGACCGATTTTTGGTCTTAACCGCAAGAAGACAACCGACAATCACAGCACCTGAGTTGGTTAACGTGTTGCAGCAGACGCACCAGGTAACCATTGGTCGTGATACTGTCAGAAATCGACTGCATGAAGCAGATCTCCACAACAGAAGGCCACTTAGATGTCCACATTTGTCGAGAGGCAATCGCGGTAGAAGATTAGAGTGGTGTCAAGAACATCAAAACTGGGATGCAAATGATTGGGCCACAGTTTTGTTTACAGACGAATCCAGATTTGGATTTCATCCAGATTCTCGTCGAGTAAGACTGTGGAGACGACAACGAAGGAGTTGATGAATTGCCATGGTCAGCACAATCACCGGACCTGAATCCCATCGAGCATGTGTGGGACATGCTTCAACGAAGAATTACTCCGCATATGGGGAACATTCACACAACGTTTCAATTGAGAGAGCTTTTAATCGCTGAATGGGCAAATGTACCTCAACAAGACATTGACAATCTCATTTTGTCGATGCACGATAGATGTAGGGCCGTAATAAACCAGCGTGGAGGCCATACTTTGTACTGATTCCAATTTTTTTGTATTATGATTTTTTTTCGGAGTGCCAAAGAAGAGCCATATTTTTTTTAGTTTTGCTTATATGCGCACTCAGTATTTTTGACCATTTAATAAATTTTGTTGTAAGTTACATTCGTTTAATAATCACCCGTCAACTTTTTTCCCCTGAAGCGATCTAAAAAAAATATATTGCCATTTTAAAAAATATCCCTAGACTTTTCCGATGTGTGTATTAATATCTCCAATCATTGGAACTGCTAAATTTGTGCCCATGTATTTATAAGAGAAGAAAAACCTATTCTAATCTATTAAAATACGCGTAAATTTTTACTATTTTAGTATTGACTATCCTATAAAACGTATTGTAAATGATGGGGTGATATTAACACTTTGATTGAAAACAATATTAAGGGATTCCCCGTAGGTATTGTAGTGTTACCAACTTACACTATTACAATATACCACGCCGTTTCGATTATTAGTATCCCCAATCACTGGAACTGCTAAGTTTGTGCCCATGTATTTAAAATAGACAAAAAACCTATTCTAATATATCAAAAGACGCGCCAATTTTTACTATTTTATTGTTGACTATCCTGTAAAACCTATTCTAAATGATGGGGTGATATAAACACCTTGATTGAAAACAATATTATGGGATTCCCCGTAGGTATTGTAGTGTTACCAACTTTCACTATGACAATATACCACGCCGTTTCGATTATTAATATCCCTAATCATTGGAACTGCTAAATTTGTGCCCATGTATTTAAAATAGACAAAAAATCTATCCTAATCTATCAAAATACGCGTCAATTTTATTATTTTATTATTGACTATCATATAAAACCTATTCTAAATGATGGAATGATACAAACACCTTGATTAGGAGAAAATATATTATGGGATTCCCCTGTAGGTATTGTAGTGTTGCCAACTTTCACTGTCGATCAATCACCAGAAAAAGAAGTTTAACGGGCTTAAAACCTCCCGAAATCTTCAAAAGCAAACTAAACTTCTCCAAAGAGGTGAAATACCTTGGTACTATCCTCGACAGGAAACTAACATGGAACTCTCATCTACAGAGTAGAGCAAAAAGAGCATACGTGGCTTATGAGCAATGTCGGGGGACGCGCATGGGCTCTTTCACCCCGTGTGGTCTCCTGGATCTACACTGCAATTATAAGACCTATGTTAACGTATGGAGCCATTGCATGGGGACCGAAAGTTCTACAAGCAACGGCCATCCAAAAATTATATCAAATACAGCGACTGGCTTGTTTAAACATCACAGGAGCCATGAGAACAACACCAACCGCGGCAATAGAATTAATTACGAGTTTGACCCCTCTGGACATGTACGTTAAGGAGGTTGCGTTAATGGCCATGGTACGATTGCGCACGGCTGGTGTAAACCTCGAAGTAGGAATGGGTCGATTGAGGCTGGGCCTATGGCGGGAAGCGCTTACTGCGCAACCTCTGCTGCAGGCAACAAGTGATGCAATTGAACCCAGGTTTGTGTTTAATAAACCCTACAAAATACAAATTAAGCAGAACACAGATTCAGATGCTACAAATGCAATATGCATATATACAGACAGCTCAAAAACCAAAGAAGGCTCAGGATGTGGAGTGTACTCCAGATCACTAAGCCTAACGATTAAGTGGGGAATGGGAAGAAGTACCAGGGTTGTCCAAACAGAACTGGCTGGTATCTCAATTGCCACAAAAGAAATATTTAAGAAAGGAATTTCTGGCAAAAACATAACAATCTGCATTGACAGCAGACAAGCCCTATTAGCCTTGAACAGACAATGTATAACCTCAGGGCTAGTACTACAGTGTCATCAAGATTTAGCCATAGCCTCGGTAGATAATAAAATTATCCTGAGGTGGGTTAAAGGACACGACAGGAGTAAAGGTAATCGCATTGCCGACTCTTTAGCCCAGAAAGCAGCTGGAGTAAGAATTTTAGGACCCAGTGGCATCTACGGCGTGATGACTTCGACAATTGCGGAACTAGTCAAATGTTACACCCATGCTCAATCCTTAAAGAGATGGTATGGAATCAAAGGATGCAATCTTGGTAGGATCACCTTGGGCGACCCTGTGACCTGTCCACCTTCCTGAAAAGGACAGGATGGACGATGACCTTGGGAGTTGTCATCCTAGGTCATCGTCCTACTCTACAGATACAGATACAGTATGACCAACGCGCACTTCAAGAATAGCTAGCTGGGTGTCTTTGAAGTGGGGTTTAACTTTTTTCAATTATAGTTTTTTTGGGCGCTAATGCCTAATTTAATCTGACAATGGCCTATAGTGAGGAATATAAAACTTACCCAGCTGTAGAGTGGCTCCATCATCAACCAAATTCTCCGCGATGTTCTTCCCAATTTTGCATTCCACGTCGGTTGGTGGTTTTCCGCCATGGATGGGTAGCGGAGTGTCAGTCTTAACAGCATAATCTATGTGGCTGATGTGTATAATACCATCGCCAAATGTTCTTGGCATATTTTTATTTATTTGCGCTGTAATTGAAACACATATATGAGAGGTCAGCCACATACAAATTGTTTATTTTGAAAATGAGCCTTCTTTAGATAAAAGTTAACGAAAAATATCTATGTTTATATAACTTTAATTTTAAAAATAACGATTAATCGTCTCAAATATACACAAATATTATCTCTTATTCCTACTTCAAAAAAATCTTGATTATGTTTATCAATCTCTACTCAAGTGAAAATAAATAATAATGAAGCATGATTGTAATTAACTTACCCACGATAATTTTTGAATGGGACATACCAGCCCTTACACAATCTACGCTGGTTCCCAAACTGCAATACCCATGTTGATCTGGAGGAGAGACCTATTAATAATGTAGGAGTTATTGAAGAAGTGACTCCAAGACAGTGTTTTGAATAATATTCATCAAATCTTTGGGAATATACTTCAGCTTTGTTCCAGTATTGCTTGAAGGTAAACAATTCTAATTTTTAACTATTCAGTTACCCTGCATACAACTTTGTTTTTTTCTGTTTTGACTATCTTATTTTGTTGCAAGCAACAATTTTCGTACAGAATTACTTTTCTCTGATTTTTTTCTGCTTCTCCTCTAGCTACCACAAGGCTGGACGTACATTTTTTCTACACCAGAACAAAAACAGAATTTCTATTATGGAACTGAGTCCTTTCAATGGTTTTCTAAACAGATTAATTTTAATAAATTGATGGATGTAGCTGTTACAACGTGCATGGTAGATCATCATGAAAAATGAGAAACAAAACTACCACTTGTATTTGTAACTAACGTTACTGCAGTTTCCCTATATAAGAAAATGTTCAAATGAATACAATAAACTTATTGTATTTGTTTGATAATTTCCTTGTAACTAACGTTACTGCAGTTTCACCATATAAGAAAATGTTCAAATGAATACAATAAACTTATTGTATTCGTATAATAAACTCATTGTATTATTGTATTTGTTTGATAATTTCCTTATAGAAGGAAACTACAGTAACGGTAGTTACAAATACAAGTGGTGTAAAAACATTGGAAGATTTATTTTTCATGTGTTTGATTTTCCCAGTTTTACCATTCTTCAAGTATTTATACAGGGTGTATCGTGATGAATGTCGGTTAGCCGTATTTTCGGAAATAATAGGATTCATATCCTAAAAATTAGTACATATAGGTTTTTCAATATGCTTTATTAGTGTCTGACTGAAAGTTCGGTTTCGGTCGAGTTTCGGCAAAAAACAGGTTTCGGTTTCGGCGGCAAACCTGCCGAAACTACAACCGAAACTGCATTCGGGAGTTCCCGCGCTGTGATCGGTAATGTTCGGCGCGTTGAATTTCGAAAACATTTTGCCTCGTCCACGTGCCTAATCATGTCGTGACTCGAGACTAACTTTGTGATTTACTTTGTTTATTACATAAATATTAAGTACCTATTGTGATACTAGGTAACGACTGTTTAATATTTTTGAAAAACCATCAATAATATTCACCTGTTTAAAGTATTTTTAAGATGCAATGAATATTTTTTCTTAAATAAGGGTTTGTTATGTTGATAATTAATAAGTAAAAATGTCGAAGACTGCATAACGTTGTGATTTAAAGATAGAAAAATAAATACTGACTGATTATAATAACGTTTTCTTCATTTTTCCCTCAAAACATAATCTTTGTAAGGAAGTTTCGGTTTCGGCCGAAACTGAGACCGTCGCCGAAATTCGTTTTTGGTTTCGGTCGTAAAAACCAGTTTCGGTCGGACACTACAGTTTTTGTATGCAAACTTATGGTTTTCAAAAAAAGAAAAAATTATTTTGTTTTCATAGTTGAGTTTGAAAATTGCGCCGACAAGTATGTTAAATCGTTACCTGAATTACAGCGATATCCGGTTTAATAATTTCCTTGTGGAAGAGAAGCGGGATTTCAGAAAGGAATATAGGCAAAGCATCTCCTCTCCCTTCTGCAACTGCTTTTCGAACATTTCCTCCCATGAAGAAGGAAAAGGACCTGTTGAAAATTACAAAAAAATTTACATCAATTTCACATTAGGTTCTCCAGGGAAATTTCTGTCATTTCAATATATTAGTGGGATGTTCAAAAATAAGATGAATGTTCAAATTTCGCGGGCTGATTACATTCGATTGGTGATTTTTTAATTTTTTCATGTTGGTATACTCTTCTCGAACATATGTTCACAGTTTCAGCTGTTTATCATGTTTAGTTTTTGTTTTGCGTGTTCGGCGATTTTCTGTTATCGAAAAAAATGAATAAAAGAAGTTGCATACACTTTTGTGAAAAAAATGGAATCAATGCCATGCGATTTTATCGCAAATTTTGGACGTTAAAAAAGTTGAAGATAAAATCTAATGAACGAAACGTCGCATCGCAAATTTGTTTGTATCAGATTATAACAAATATGAAGCAGTATTGAAAGTTCCTCTGCTCTTTTTACATTATTCGAAATGGAGGCGGAAGAGTTAAAAAAAACGAAATACGACAATTCTAGTTTTCGGCAAATATTTCAAAAACAATCATTGACATTCTAAATGTGAAAAGGGATTATTCTAGTTTCTCAAAATAGGAAACTTCTGTCCGGTTCAACTGACCATGTAGGTCTTACAGTTTCCTAGATAGTAATAGTGGGGTCAGCTAAAAAAGGTCCATCTTTAATATAAGAGGTTTCATCAATCTTTTGCTAGGAGTACTTGGCGAGTTACAAAGTTAAAGAGAATCATTGTTTTTGACATATTTTCAAAGAGTACCTATTCATTGAAAGAGATGCTAGTTGAAAATGAGTAGTTTTTGTACAACTGTTTATGATGTAACATTTGGTGATTTCAGCAATTTGGGGTGGAAAAGTAGTCAGAAAGTAATAATGTATATGCCACATATTGAAATAAATAATAATAATAATGAATATTCTCATGCAACACATAAATGTAAATATGAGAATATAAAAATTATAAAGCATAAAAATTTAAAAGTGAATGCATAGAAAATAACAGTAAGTATCAACTTCGTAAACATTTTCAACTATACAGTTCAGAGCTAAATGTAAACATCAAACAAAAAGTTGAAAAAGTCACATAGTTTAAATGACAGTAGCTACTGAAGCACAATAATTAAAATTAATTGTTTATATAATTTAAATTTCTGTCTGAATAGAATTCGTCTAAAGAATAAAAAGCCTTTGAAATCAGAAGCTCAATTAGCAAATGGGTAACCCTTTTTTTTCCATTATATATGAAAGACCCTCTCAATTTTTGATGATATTGGAATCAGTAAACCTATATTGAGCTTATTTCTGGTATTTCCTCTTGGTGAAATGAAAATGTCCCTCCTGTATTTTTTTTTGCAATATAAGTATGGAAGGCAAGGTCAAGATTGTATGCTTTCTGAATAAAGGTCGACAGGAATCCCTGAATCCAACTCTACACATATTTCTAATTCCTCTTTTTTGTAGTACAAACACCTTATCAAATATGTATTGGCAACACGTTCCCCAAAAACAGATACTGTATCCCAGATGGGAATCGATGAGAGCAAAGTACACATTTTTTGCCATATTAGTGCCCAATTCATTTGCTGATACTCTGACTGCAAAGCATCCTGATGGAATTTTTCTACATAGGTTATTTATGTGACCTTCAAAATCCAAATTTTTATCAATTTGTAATCCCAGAAATTTTGCTGACATTTTGTTTTCTATTTATTGAGTACCCAGGTAGATATCTAGTGTGGAGCACTTGAGGGTGATGATGGTAGTTTTTGAGACATTAAATGACAAGAGATTAGCATCACACCAGTCTTTTATTTTTATAATATCCATGCTGATCAAATCCTGCAGTTCCCTTTCATTCTTGCAATGCCAAAATAAGGTAGTGTCATCAGCGAATTGGGTTATTTCTGCGGTTATATTAATGCGGGCTAGGTCGTTAATATATAACATGAAGAGAATTGGGCCTAGAACCGATCCTTGTGGAACACCACAAGTAACTGTCTGGAGATGGGATATGTTGTCCGGGAGTTTGACTTTCTGAGTACGTTCTGACAGGTATGACCTGAACCATTTCAAAGATATATCTCTAAAGCCATACACTTCTAGTTTTTGCAACAGAATTTCATGATCCACGCAATCGAAAGCTATTGGAAGATCGCAAAAAACTGCCGCTGCTATTTCACGATTATTCAAATTGAGATACACGTTTTCCAGTAGATGAAACATAGCGTCTTCCGTGTTTTTCAAACTCTGAAAACCAAACTGACTGCTACTAATAATATTATGCTTTTTCACAAACATCATAATTCTTTGTTTAACAAGTTTTTTTATGATTTTAGCAAGGGTAGGTAGCATAGAAATAGGCCTGAAGTTGGCAGGATTATTAGTGTCGCCTCCTTTGTGCAAAGGAATAACATTTGCTGTTTTTAAACATGCCGGAAATACACCCCTTATGAAGCTTGTATTTATAGCTTCCACCAAAGCGGTGATAGCGGAGTTGGGCAACTTGGTAAATACTTTTATGCTCATGTCATCCCAACCAGCCGAATTTAAATTTTTATTTTTTTTAAGAATTTTTCTAATTTCCATAACATCTGTAGGCATGAAAAAAAATGTCTCTGACATTGGACTTTGGATAAATTATGTGCCACAGTGCAGTAATATTTGTTAATACAATTAGATTTTAGGTCAGTTTTCAAAGCAATATTCTTTTTTCCTTTGAGATCATTGATGATTGCCCAGCTTTCTTTTCGTTTGTTTGCAGACCTTTCCATTTTTTTCATATAATGAAGTTGTTTTGCAGTCCTTATAGATCTTCTATAATTGTTTTTGTACCTATTATATAGGGAGTTGAAGCTTTTATTGTTACCTAAATATTTCCGAAATAAATATAGTGATCGTAGATTTTCTGCTGAGACCTTAATGCATTAATACCTTAATATTAAATTTATCTATTTTATTATGAAAACAGGACAGTTGTTCAAAAAACTTAGAATGGTATTTGTGTAAGTAAGTTTTATTTTGTTCGTGAAACTGCTCAACTCGCTACGCTGGTTTCGCATACTTTTTCACTCACAAAATAAAACCTTACTTTCAATACTCATATCATAAATAGCTATTTTCAAAAGTATTTTCAGCAAACATAAAATTAGGTACTTCGAATGTATTATTATTATTATTATGCACTTCATTGGAAGTGTTTGTGTACCTAGATATTGGGATCGACAGTTTTCAAATAATTTACGACATCCCAAGCAAACTACCTGAAAATTCCTTCGCAAGAGGCATCTGTATAGGGCGCGTCTCCTTCTGTGTGCATATGACAAACGGTAACGTTTTCCACTTTCTTTTTCTTTCCGACCTCTGTCATGGCCTTCAACAGAGCGACCGGGGTTGCGGCAGCCCCTTGGGCGAATACAGTGTCACCTGGAATGAAAAAACAGGTATATGATATGTATACAGTATGTCTCAAAAAATTGAAACCATATGAAAAACTTCATTATTTATTGAAGGAAAAAAGTTATTTTTTGTACAATTGTCATTAAAAGTGACATTTTTAATGCTTGTCAAGAGTATTAAAAGGTGATGTTTACAAAGTAGGGTGTCAAAAATATTTTCAACACTACAATTAAATTCTGTTACAAATATATAATAATAATAATAACTTTATTCGTCTTTTCGATCATTTACATGATATAAGACATGTCATAAATAAAAATATGAAAATTATATAAAACAATAATAACAATCCACAGTATAACATAGATCGGACACTTGAAACAGGTACTTAACTATATACATATATAAAAAATAACACAAACACACATACACACATATATGTATACACATACGTAAATATACATAAAGTAAATTTATCTTTAACTAGGATGAAAGAAATGCAGTGAAAGCCATAATCATGATAACAGTGTATCCCGTTCTAAGAATTCTTCTACATTATAATATCCCTTATTAGTTAATAACTCCTTTATTTGTTTTTTGAATGGTATAGTATGCAAATCTTCAATATCTTGAGGCAACGTATTGAATAATATTATGCCATTATATGCAAGTGATTTCTTGAATGTCGATGTTTTATGTTTTGGGATAGTTAATAAGTGTCCATTTCGTGTTGCATAGTTATGAACTATTGATACATCTCTCAGATTGGGTACATTATTTTTCACATGGAGCAGAACTTTATATATATAGATACAATGTAACGTTAGCATCTTGTTCTTGCAGAAAGCAGGTCTACAGCTATCCCTGGGTGCAATATCAAAGATGTTCTATTAATTCTTTTTTGAACAATAAAAAAACGTTTTGCCCCCACAGAAGAACCTCACATTAATACATTTTGAGCCATATGTGAGTACGCCAATGGATAGTAAACAGCCCTGATACCATCTAAACTAAGCACGTTTTTGATCTGTCGTATTGCAAATAACGCTTGATTAAATTTTTTGCAGACATAATCGATATGGGGCTCCCAAGACAAGATTTTATCTATAAACATACCAAGGAGTTTGGCTGTTTCCGAGAGTTGGATGTTGTTGAGTTTCACTGTTTTCCTTAACGCGAAGCTTAAATGTACTGTTTTACTTTCGTTCAGTTTTAGTTGATTTCTATCACACCAAGAAATCATGTCATCCATGACTGAATTAATGTTGTTTTCTAGCTCCTCCACAGTATTTCCGGAAACTGTTATTGTATTGTCATCTGCGAATAGGATAATGAAACTCTCGACCCAAAAATGTATTTTAAACCCCATATTGCGAATATTACTTCTGAAGCACTAAAAATGTTAGGTTTCATTCTTAGATTTGCAAATGAATTATCTCCCACTTCAATGAAAATCATATATTGTTCAATTGTTAGATCAATAATCGAATACAATTCCACAATTCGGTGCCCTTCATTTCATGTGGATATTGATATGCTTGAAAGTGTTCAAAATAACTTTTTAAGGTACTCTGCATATAAACTGGGATATCATATTGGTGAATATGACTATAAAATTATGTTGGACATTCTTAACTTGAATACTCTGACTCATAGAAGATTAGAATCAGATCTTACACTAATTCATAAAATAATCAATGGTAGCATCAATTCCCTGGAACTTGTCGAACTCATAACTTTAAATGTGAATCCAAGGAGAACAAGAAATTCGGAAATCTTCGAAGTACCCTTTTGTGGCATCAACTATAGCCGGAATTAATCTTAAGTAGAATTTTGAGACTTGCAAATACATACAATGTAGATTCAGAATTTTTTAATTCTTCTTTGGAAACATTTAAAAACACTGTGAAAAGATTGTAATTCATTAACTTATTTTTACGATTTTTTTAAATTTTATTTTATATATTTTTTCCTTAACATAGTGTTATATACATATGTGTGGACTTGTTAATTGTTTTGTAAAAAATAGACATTGCCGTAAATAAATAAATGAATGAAGAGTCCCTTGAATTTTTGCCACATGTTGAATAAACACCCTGTGTAATATCTGATATTTCACATTGTCGTGAACCATTATAATAATTAAGAAAAAATGCTACTTTTATTTTATTCCAGATGCATTGGAATTCAATTTAAGTTCGTTCGAAACGATAAGCGCAAATGGACTGACGTCACAAACTATTCTCATAACAAGTTTGCTCGATTCTCACATTTATATTTATTTTATAGGTCATCATGAATTATTAAACCTACATCGGTTTGTTTACTAGACTATTTTCACAAAATGAATAACCAACTGAAGCGCTTCTTGATAAAAATAATTCTTTGAGAGACAAAGTTCAAGTAAAACAATTCATATCATGACGTTTCAATACGAGTATCATATCTTCCAGTAGTTTTTCGGTATTTGAAAAAACTAGCAACAGATTAAAACGGCCTGTAATTCGAGGTTTTATATTATGAATATGAATTTGAAAATTTTACTATGATAGATTGTATTTGACAACAAAGGGCATTCATTCCAGTGCCAAAATTTCCATATTCAGTCACCTACTTCAATGTCCAAAATATCGAATGGCTCAAATTTTCAAATATCAACGACGAACAAGTTGGCGAAGCTGATATTTTTGCAATAAGCTGCGGACTTACTCAGATTATAAATCAGCAAACCAGGATTCCTGACTGTGATGGAGAATATGCTAGTCTTCTGGATCTATACCAAACAACCAATCCAGAAATTTACACAGTCCCGCATGGTCTCCATTTGGAGCTTCTGACCACAAACTCATTTCAGTTACCGATAAATGTTGGGGAACAATCAAAGCCGCACAAAGTTTGGCAGTACAGATCAGCTGAATGGGATAATCTCCAAGACCATTTTTGAAATTTCCCCTGGCTAGATGTTTGTTTCAGCTCTAAAGATCCATTAACGTGTGCTTCTGGAGTCACGGAAGTTATTCTACCATCCATGGATGCATATATTCCTTTTTCAATGAAACAATCTTCTAATAGCAAACCTTGGTTCAACAAACATTAAGAGCAAGCTAGCAACCGAACTAGGTTTGTTAATGCTCGCAACAGCTGGAAACTAAGGATAAATGAAAGTAACGAGTAAAATTCGTCTGAAAATTCGCAAAACGAACCTTCATATAACAAAGCGTGGACTTTAGTCATCTCCTGATGATGCTTACTAGGTTAGCGAAACGCGTTGAGTGATAAATGACTGTCGTATTGACATAGGAAAAAAACGACAATAACGACAAAACGATAACGAATAAAGGCCGTTGGTGTAGAGGCTAAGGACAATGTCTACCACGCGGACGATCCAGGTTCGATTCTCATAACTACAAACCTCTTTTCAATTAGGAACACGTGACTGAAACGTGACAAGGGGGCCCGAGGGGTGACGCGGAGTCTCAAGAGGGCCTGAGCGGTGATGTGGAGTACCAAGGAGGCCGAGGGGCAGAGTTCCACGCTTGAATCGTTACGAAACTCATTCCATCCAGCGTCGATGACATTTCCCCCACTCCCGTTTGAGCCAGAATCGGCCAGCTGATTGGTTGATTTAATGACGGTAAAAGTGAAGGAGTGCGGACAACTACGTCATGCCTACCTCGAGTTGGGTGTTCCACAAGGTTTCGATCGGAGGTCCAAAAAGGTCCAGAATTAAGCTCCATAAGAAAATACATGGGATTTTGAGCCAGAACTCCTTTAGCTATATTACCTTCATACGACAAAGCGTGGACTTTAGTCATCTCCTGATGATGCTTACTAGGTTAGCGAAACGCGTTAAGTGATAAATGACTGTCAAATTGAAATAGGAAAAAAAAACGACAATAACGACAAAACGATAACGAATAAAGGCCGTTGGTGTAGAGGCTAAGAACAATGTCTACCGCGCGGACGATCCAGGTTCGATTCTCATAACTACAAACTTTTTTTAATTAGTAACACGTGACTGAAACGTGACAAGGGGGCCCGAGGGGTGACGCGGAGTCTCAAAAGGGCCTAAGCGGTGATGTGGAGTACCAAGGAGGCCGAGAGGCAGAGTTCCACACTTGAATCGTTACGAAACTCATTCCATCTAGCGTCGATGATGTTTCCCCCACCTCCGTTTGAGCCAGAATCGGCCAGCTGATTGGTTGACTGAATGACGGTAAAAGTAGAGGAGTGCGGACAACTACGTCACGCCTACCTCGAGTTGGGTGTTTCACAAGGTTTCGATCGGAGGTCCAAAAAGGTCCAGAATTAAGCTCCATAAGAAAATACATGGGATTTTGAGCCAGAACTCCTATAGCTTTATTACTGTAAAGAATTTCACAATCAGAGAATTTGGGATGAATTGCTTGCCAATCCCAACAGGTCTAGATCCATCTGTTCAGTAACTAAAACTGTTAATCAGAACTTTACCAAATCCACAATTCCACCACTAACACAAGCGGATGGTTCATTTGCAACAACAGCCATAGAAAAAGTAAATCTATTAGCTGAACAATTTGCGTCCCACTTCACGGTATACTATTTGGGAACGGCACCACCTACTATTCCCATACCAGAATCCACAATGCCAGAAATTACTTTTTCGACAGAGTTTAGTCAGGCAAATTTTGAAACAGTTCAATATCAACAAGGCGTCTGGCCCTGATGAAGTGCCTGTCATAATGCTTAAAAGTGCGCAATTGAATTCGCACCACTATTTTGCAGACTTTTCGACCTGTCTTACAAGAAAGGGGTTTTTCCTTGTTGTTGGAAGATTGTTCGCACTCAGACAATTCCCAAAAAGGGCAAGAAAAATCTTCCAAATAACTATAGACCAGTCGCTTTGCATCAGTAATATCAAAAATCATGGAGAAAGTCGTAAGCCACCATATCCTCAAATATTGGAAGACTTCAACATCTTGAGCGATCATCAATATGGCTTTCGGAAACAAAGATCAACAGACATTCAAAACAAAAACACGGCCGGG